TTCCTCCTTTCTCCAGAACCCTTGTGCACAGAGGACTCTAGTTTCAAACTGTTCCCTCCTGCTTGGATGTAATTTCTGTTCCACTACAGTGATACTAGAACAGTGCTGCCCAAATCGATCTATTTTCTCTCATCTCCAAGAAGATGCATATTTGTACTTGTATAGAAGGATAAAAAAGATGAACGTTGAGGACTAACAATCCCTCCCCCAGTATTACAATATAATTAAAGTTCTGTAGTAATAGCACCGGTCCCAGTATGGACCCCTGAGAGACGTCACTTGTCACTGGCGTCCATTTGAATATTGAGCCATTGACCACTACCGTTTGGCTGCTACCATTTAAAACCAGGACAGTCATGTCCCGCAAATTGCAGGGCTGAGCAAGGCCTGGTGTGTTTGTTCATCACCACAATGAGCAGCAGTGATGCTAGACAGATGCCTGATACTGTCATGGTGGGGCGGAGGTGAGCTGGGAAGCTGGGATTTCCATACACTGCTGGAAATCTGTTCTTCCAAGCACAAAGGGATCCCAAAGGCATGCCCACAGAAATAGCTCTGTAAATTTGGTTCTATAAAAGTGGAAAGACCTCAACCTCAAAGTGACTGAAGCCCTATGAACAACAGCAAATAGTTTGTGCAAAGAGATCAGTAGATTCATATATGCTCTAACACCTAAGGTAGAATTTGTATAGTAAGACAGTCTTGTTTACACAGTGTGCTGGTCTCAGTATTACTAATTCTTCCCCATTTCTTCCTTTGATAATCTACTAAACTTGTTTTTTCCATGTTTCAAATGAGAAGTGATCTGTTCTCCTTGATTTTTCAAAATAAAGCCAAACGTCAAGGCTTTGAAACTGCTCTTTCAGTTGTCTGGAGCCAGTGCAGGATTACTCCAGTAAGGAAGAATCACTAAAAATTCTATTGATTGATCAACTCAGATTGACAGGGTATAATTATAGACACATAAAGCAAAGTCTTGCAATTAACTTTCGAATTAAACTTGTCCTACTATTGCATTTGAGTAACATTTCAAAAACATCCCCTTTATACACAGACACACTCAGACTATGAAATACTGCTTGTTTTAAAGCCTGGTGTCTGCTTGCACCTGTACCTTGCTGTTCTGCACAAAATCTGTTTGCTGACATTGAATACCCAAGCTGCACACCTGCAGCAGCCCACAAGGCTGAGGGCACCGAGCTGCCCACTCCCCAGGGTCACTCCGCACCTGTACTGCTCCATCGCCCACCTCCTCCCTCAATTATAGACAACCTGCAGCCCAAAGAACATACCATCCATCCCCCAACACCACCCTCGATTGCATCCATCCCAGGCCACTTCTCTTTCCCCTCCTTAGAGCAGTACGATCCCTGCTCCCACACCGGCAGCCTCTTACCAGGCCTGGGTGGGCAAAAGGACAGACAAGGAGTATGGGAAGGAGCAACCTGTCATTCCTCCTACCCTGTGTGAGAGAGATCCCACCAGTCTCTGCATAGTTATCATCAACAACCACCAACCTGTCTCCAAGTACCGGTTTAACTCTGGAAGATTGACTCATCTTTCCCTCTCATCAGAGATCACGGTTCCTTGGATCTTTGCATCTTTACAGTAGTTTCATGTAGCACGTGCCTTCAATGTACCTGCTGTTGCGCTTAGTGGTATGAAATCTCTGCATCCAGAGTGGGCTGGTGCTTTTGCAAGATCTTAAAAAAAGATGGTTACTTCAGGTATTTATGATCTTGAGGAAAACAAACAAATCTCTTCCATCATACTAAACTACATTTCAAGAATATGGGTCAAACTTCACCATGTTGAACCACAAACATACGGATGTCGGTGCTCTACAGTGCTGTTGCAGGGCAGACATTCATCAGACCCTTCACAGGTTCCCCTAGGCTGTAAGAGAGGAGGTTTTTCTCGCCTTAGTCCTCAAAGTGGATGTCACACCCATAAACGTTTCTTCACTTGCCTCAGCTTCTGCTTCTGCTCTACCACCTCTGCTAACTCCCAAAGGCAACTATTCTTACACTTATCATTGCATTCAGAGATGTCTTGGGCAACAGAAGAAGCATCAGGCCTTTGCTACCCACATCATTTACAGAGTTTAATTAAGAGAAAGGGAAGAGGTGGTGAAGCTTTAGGAGCCAAGATCTGGAACAAAACAAACGGCAGCGCTGTCTGCTTTAAAATATGTATAGCCTCTCTCCTTCTGTAATCCCACCTCTAAAATTCTTATTTGGTCCCCTCATTACCACTCAGTGTCTGCCACTTCCCACACTGCTCACAGCACTAGCAATACACAACATGGAGAAAAAAAGATTTTCTCTTTTAACAAAACTTCTGGTATATTTCATGTTCTAGAAGACCTGGAGCACTAACAGGGTGTAGCGTCTTTGTGTCACTGCCACTACTTCTACCACAGGAAGCTTCAGTTGGCTTTTCTAGGCATTAAGAGTTATCACGACTTTTTTTCCCCATGCAGAATAAGTTGCCTGAGCACACAGCTCTCGTTCTGGAGTGAGAGACAGGGAAGGAGGGGCAGGAGCAAAGGTTCATGCCAAAAAGAGAAAACGATGTCAGCTGTGGCTACTGGGCATTTCATGAACTAGATGTTATCACCCACCAGTAAGCAGCACCACATATTACCAAAGGCTCAAATGCATCTACCAAGCAAATCATCCCCTCCTCCCCCACAGCTACAGTTTTTGCTCTAGGGTTGGGTTTTAAGACAAGTCTCTAGCCTTTGCAGTTGCCTTACTAAATCTTAAGAATGGAAGTTTGGGTAGCAGCCTGATTTCACAACCAGCCTGAAGTGGTAAGGCGGTCCTTAGGATCTTAGAAGACAGCAACAAGCTGGTTCTTACCATCCAGGCTTTCACCTGGGGAAACACCAGCATCAATCCAGAAGCCCTCAACTCAAGCTACAGTACATTTTGAAAGGCATATGTTATAAAATACAGCTAAAAAAAATATCATATAAAGCCAATCAAAATGAATGACAGCTGAATGGGGAAAAGGAATAGGAGACACTGCTAACCCCAAACACTGAAAAGCCTGAGTCAATTCTGAGCAACAGCTGGGATTTTCTGGGCAAACCTCTACAGTAAGATGAGTTCACTTATATACCAGGTATTTACCTTGTAAATACATGTATAGATATGTATTACTCCAGGTATTTATCACTTCTTAAGGCATTCAAGGCTTAAGGGGCAGACACAAAAGTCTCATGTGGTCACAGGTGCCAGCTTCTAAAGAAACTAGCATATAGAACAGCAAGAGTTTGGGTAAGGGACATATTGGCTGCCTGAAGCCTGTCCTCCCCTCATGAAAAATGCAGGGGAAGGAGACAGTTTCTTCCTCCCACAGATGGGAACCCTCCTCCCCACCCACTCTTCTCTCTAGCTTGTATTCAGAGTGGTTAGTCATAGCAGGACACAGATGCGTTCACGCCTGGATGGTGCAAACCAGACGATAACAAGAACATGTTCTTGTCTGCAGGCCAGGAAACCACCACTTGTTTTGCTTGCAAGTCAGAATTTATTACTCCTTTGTGATGGGAAGAAGAATCACTTTTGTTTAGCCTTTCTCAGCGTACTGGGGAAATACGCTGGGTTTACTTCCCGCAGTGCACAAGCTTCTTGCTCATCCACCAAGTCTGCTTTCTGTACAGGCTTCTGTTTCCTCACAGGATATCAAATGCCCCACACGCTGCAGGCTTGCACAGAGCTGCTGGCCATGAGATCTATAGAAGACTGACAGGAACAAGGACCAGGCACTGGGGACACAGATGAAGCTCATGCAGAAAGGCAATTCCTGCATGGCAGGGGCACGCACCTGGCAAAGAACAAGCCCTAACGCTGAGATTTGGCCCCTTGAAACACGTAACACTGCAAACATTCACTTGCAATTCACTAAGCAGTAGTTCATCATCTTAATTTGAATGAGACACTAATGAGCTGGGCTGAGTATATTTACATGTTTGGTTATGACTGTCCTCTGAAAATGCTGTCCCTCCTTTGAGAAGACATGCACAACACGGTGGTAAGAAGTCAAACGCTCCCTGCATTTGGCTACACGGAGCACACAGGAAGGATGGGCAAAACCATGGTGAGCCATTCTGGGGTGCAGTTACTGACCTTGTTCAGGTCTTCGTGCTCAAACAGTGAGAAAACACAGGGGTTTGCTGAGCCTTACAGATTTCTAATCCAGAACAGCCTGACTCAGCACAGCACTCATCCTAAGGCTGAAACAAAATCAACCTTTCCAAAGCCAAACTTGACAGATTCAGAATACCAACGTAGTAGCAAGTAAAAAAACCAAATGAAGAACCAAAGCAATTGCACTCTCATGCTGGTTGCACAACTTGAAAGTGTCTTTGAAATCCAATTCAAGATTCAAACCTTACCAGAGCGTGATCAAGTCATTTCAGTTTTCTTGTTTACGAAGTACTTCAAAGCAGCCCTTGGCATTCAGTACTGCTTCATCACTTTGCTTTGTTACTAAATCGAGGAGGTCTCTAGTTAGTCACCTCACACCAGAAAGGCTACACTATACTAAGCTGTATGAAACATTTTCTCCTCCTTTCATCCTGCCGTAAGACGAACCATAACACAAGCAATTCCTGTAGCATTGTAGCTATACTAGCTCTCAATAAGCTGTTGAACAATACCTCACAGGAAAGAAATCAGGACCAGTGTAACAAACTTTCACAGTTCTAATATTATTCTTGTTTAAGGAGATGAAAAACTTTAATGAAGGCTCCTGAGGTGTTATAGGTCAAAGTAGAGAATTCTCCTCTCCCTCTCCCCGCTTTACTTGTGGCTTTGTGCTCAGTCTGCCTTTGTATGGCTCCTTCCTGTACTGCTTAAAGATCAGAAAAAGTCATCACCATCTGCAGCAGACTCAGCAATCAGTGTCAGAACCTATACACATTTTTCCCCTCTTCAAAGTGTATTCTTTTGCTGAACATCTCAATCATCACGAAACCGGGCAACAAGATATTTACTTTGATCAAGGTGTTTATTGCATCTCAGAGGGCACACATGCACTGGGGTTTTTTGTTTTGTTTTTGTTTGGGTTTTTTTTTAAACTGAAATACAAAGAAGAACCGTTTTGAAATTAGCTTTTTATAGAACTTTCCCATTACGGTGTATGTTATCCCCACAGCAAATTCAGATACAACCACTTTTAATGGTACCATACATTGATTAAATAGTTCATTTGAAAGACTTTAGGTGAATACCTTTCCAACCCGATATGCTTTTAGAAAGAACTGCCAAGCCACTTGTAACACTGATCAACAGTGACCTCATTGAAGAGTCAAGATCTTATGCCAAGCCATCAGCAGAAACAGTATGAGAACAAATAAAAATTAAAGAAACACAGTATGTACAGTAAAGGGCACGGATCTCTGGATCAGAATTAAATCTAATCACCAATAGTACAAAAGCTACTCACAGCGCATTCGGGGCAATGGAGAAAACACTAGCCTAAGGCATACACAGGTAAGCACTAAATTAAGAGATGTACATAAGAACTGAACAGAGATGAGTAACATCACTTGTAATGTTTTGACTACAGATATACCCAAGAGTGCTCTCGTATTTGAAATCCCTTAATGCCAGCACAACTATGGTTGCTTTTTCCAACTACACGGAGAGAAACTGACCCTTTACTTATTTTCAGTGCATTTAGCAAGAACTGATAAATATGCCAATTTTAAACGCAAAAACTTAAATAATTAAAATAGATTTTAAAATAAAAACAGCAATAAATATGGTATTCTTTCAGATATGATTTTTCATTCTTGGTAAATCATCGAGAAAGTATTGTTATGGAAGTTTACCTTTACATTACTTTAAATTATCTTAACATATACAGTGCCACAAAAATAAAACATTTTTTCACGACAATTGAGATTTATGTGACTGGAAAAAAAAAAATGTATTCCACACAATTCCATAAGTATTTTCCTTACTATCTGGTATTATCACACTATGTTTCATAACAGATAAAGGAGAAATTGAGTCCTAGGGGAAATTTTAGGTGTCCTCAAAAAGTTATATACATTGAAACCTTCAAAAACCACAGACATCGTTCCAAATGGCTCACCAAACAACAGCTGCATAATCTGCCCCCGTGGGATAGGTTCAGAAAAGCACTAGAAGGCATCAGAAACATACATCCATTGTTTAAATTGTAAAACACAAATAACCCAAGTACACAAATTTCGAGAGAGTAGGGATAACAGCTAAGGTAGTACACATTCCTAATGTTCACTTTCACAGCTGTGCTACACGTTTCAGGAGGAAGAGAAAGTCTGAGTAAGCGCTGGGTTTGGTACTCGTGGCTCACTTTGAAACTCTGAGCATCCGTTAGTAGACTCCAAACGCATGGTTTTATCATCCAGTCAGAAAAACTGCAGCTGTGAATACAGAAAAGTTTTAGATGAAAACCAGGATAATGAGTTCAATTCGAGAGAGCACCAAATCTGCCCATCATTTCACACCTTAAACGAGTTGTTCTCAGTTTTTAATGAAGCAGCAGTCTTCCCACAGACTGTTAGGAATCTGTCTACTATAAACCCAAGTTGAAAGCAGCAAGTCTCAGCAATGAAGGTGCAACTCCACTCCTGGCCATCTTCACCAAGCACCAGGTACACCTCCCCGAGGCTGGAATTTGGAGAAGTGGAAAAGGGACTGGGCAGTGCCTGCTAAGAGCAGCCTGATCCCATCCACTGCTCCTAACTCCACTGCAGAGGGGGCTTAGAACAAGTCTTAGAATTCAGCTATAGGAAGAAAGCAAAGGGACTTAGGAAGAAGGCTTTAAAGAGGTGTAATGACTGACCTCTCCTCACCTGGCAAATTATTCTAGTCTTAATTATAAAATGCCTACCTTACTTCTGCATTATTATTTTTTAATTGACTGAAGTGTTCAATTCAATCTGATGTTTCTATTTGGCCCTCTTCATATCCTTCTCCAAAACTCTCACAGTAATGTTTTTGCCTTATTTTCCTTTCATTCTGCAGTACTGTTTTCTTTGCTTCTCCATTTTTTCTATTTATTTACTCTTCTGTTCTTCCCCAGTGTTGTTCTACATGACACCGCTCAGAACCTCACGTCTTAGCATTCAGAAAAGCAGTGCCTTGAAAAGTTGTGTGGTGGGGAAGAACATTAGCTGGCAGCAGTTGAGAGACAAACAACTTTCACTTGATGATCAGGACACCTAAGTTATTCATCTTTTGATCCTTTCACATCTATGATAACAAATCTGTTTCCACACCCACAAGATGGGAACAAGCCTCTTCAGCACTACGTTGCCCTCAGTATTTGCCCTGTCATGATTTTGTTTTTTCAGTATTAATTGCAGGAAAAAAAAGCCCACGAACCCTTGGCTTGAATGGAAACAAGGCAAAAATGAAAGTTATAGTACAAAAATATCTTTTCCTGGCAGTCACTTTTGGCTAAAAAAGTAGCTAAAAGTCAAGCTTTCAGGCTAAAATTAAGAGTGTGGACAGAGAATTTAGTTTTCTGTTTAAACCACTACATTCTCAGTGCATGTTTCTATCTATCTTTGCAGCTCCAATTTTATCAGTCATATTCAATCTACGTCTGTGTGCCAGACACATACCACAGCGTAACATGCTTAGGCAGGCAGTCACAGAATACCTTATCATTTACAAGAAATCCTTGATGTTAAGATCCGCTAATGGGTCCTTTGTTGGAGGTTTCTTGGGACTCTGAGTAGCAGGAGTTGGGCTTGGAGAAAGCTAACAACCAGGAAGGCAGAAAAAAAACACAACAGACAAGGATACACAAGCATTAGGTAGATATAGCTGGTTCTCACACAAGCACATTGCAAGCATACAAAGTTCTCCTTTTTCTGCAAGTTCAGTGTGCTGCCATCTTGTTGAAGCATTGTTTAGACTCCATCCTTACTACAGGGTTAACAATGTTTGGCCGGTTTAATGGATAATGCTATAGACACTGCATATTCTAATTAGCACAGCTTCAAATCACTCTCTCCCTGTAAGAGAGAATGGTGTTAGGATCATCAACCCAGGGTTAAGTAATTGTTAGCTGTTAAACACCAAGGTGCAGAATAAGCAGAGTACATGTGGCAGAGTTCATCTGAAAATCCCACCAACTGTCACTGAAGTACAAGTTGTTCTACAGTGGTAACATAAATAAGAGTCTAAAATGTACTGGAGATGTGACTATATTATAGTCTGTCCTCCTCTGGTAGGTATAAAAATCATCAGTTACTCCACAGAAATTGTCAATTTTTCAAGTTCCATGCAACTCTTCTCACTAGGAAGCCAAACGATTCTCCCATCCTGTCCTTACTCCTCCCCATCAGAGTCTTACTCAGAGCACTAGAGGTATTTTATATGTAGCCGTGGCAGCTTGATGATTACCCTTCTCTGAGAAAAAAAATGTGTCTTCTGTAATACTATTCTTGATAATGTAAGTGCAGAGACAGTTTAAGGTGGGAGGAAGAGCAAGACCAAGCAGCTATATATGAAATGCAGAGCTCTAACACCCATAACCTACCTTCTCACTTAGAGCAGTTTCAAGCTGATCCCATTTCTACACAGAAAACCCAGACAAACTTCAACAGGAATGCGGTTCCCTACCTAAAATGTATGACTTGCTACAGGTTGATTGCTTAATGTTTGCAAAAAAGGGTGTCGGCTTGGTTTCAAGTGTTAGAGTCAGATTTTAGAGCTGCAGCATCAACTTCCATCATCCAACCTTTCTGAAAGACAAGATGGACTTCTGACTTAAAGAAGCAAAATGCTACAGCTAAATCATTCCCTGCCTCTCCTCTGGAAGGGCCCTTTCCTTTTCATATTTATTACAAACTGAACTCTACTTTTTAAAAAAAAATATCCTGCAACAGGTATTAATGGCTTATGTTGCATCACCTAGGGGCTACGAGCTAAAAGCTTTGCAACAGAATGGGTACAGAGTGCTGCACTTTCAAACTTACTAGGCTTGAAGTTAAAAAGAAACCTTAGAAACTATGAGAAGCAGCTGACACCACCCCATTCAACAGGAAGGTTGGCATGTCTCCGTTCATTCAACCTACTTCATCATTAATTACTCCATTAGATTTTTTTTCATCATATTAAAGAAAGGACTTATCTCCCTGGCAACCAGTAACTTGTGACACAATGTTGCCTGCTTATTTTTAATTAGTATAGAATTAAGAATAGGTTTGCTTTGGTTTTAGGTGGTCAAACTTGTGTCCCCTTTATGTCTAAATATGTGACTGTCACAAAGTCAGACTAGGTAAATCTAGTTTAAAAACATGACAAATTAAGCAGTGTCACATATTTCCCACTTACAAAAGAATACAGAGTGACTGAAGATTAAGATTATGCATATGCACTCCTCCACCTTAGTGTAAGTTAGAAGAAAAGCTTCACTCCACAGTATTTAAATTTGCACATTGCTGTGAAAAGCGTGCATCCTGAGCACTCCAGTGTTACCTACACTACAGTAATTCAGACATGAATGAAGTTGTTTTGTGCTGGAAAAGACCTAGCAAGCTACCAGCCTGTAACAGCTAAAGTTGTATTTACTGAGAAACAGCTGTCATCCAAGAACTGGAGACTTTAGCTTGTTCATAAGCAGAAGGCTGGTTTTCCGAGGAATCTCTTGGTGGGCTGAGAGGGAAGATGCTGAGAGCAGCTCCAGTAAATTTTGACAAGCTCTAAACAGAAGAAGAATGCACATCAGCTCCACTTTGAGCTTTACTCAAATATCACCCAAAACTAGATCTTGGATGTTGTTAGCTGTAGGAGACTTTTCAGACCTGTTCCACTGGTCTCACACCAGGGAACTGAAAAAGAAAAAAATCAAGGTGGTTCATGTGATCATTGCAAGTCAGGCAGCTGCTACTGTAAGAAATCTCATTTACAGACCTACAGCTAGAATTGAACTGAAATAACACATACATGCATGCTACTTTTAGAGAAATGGAGAGCAATTAAAACATTCAGCTAGCAGAAACATTTACCTGTACACCAGTGGCAGCTCCAAACGGTGGCCTCATCATAGGCTGCCCGTACATCACTGGCTGCTGTGGCATCATGGGCACGCCTGTGCCTGCTGGGGGCTGGAAATCAACGCACGGTCAGTAGGGTTCCAGGTGAAGAAAGGAGAGCAATGTAACGAAAGAGCCTCACCATCCCAAACGCTGCTCCTGGCTGCGGGACAGGTGGAGTACCTCCTGTGGCAGGAACAGCACTTGCTGGAGGCACAGCTCCTGTCTAAAAAAAATAAAATATTTTTTAAAAATTAAAATGCAAGGATCTCTAACACCAACTACCTGGAAACAACATGGAGTCTGCAGCATTCTCAAAGTTGTTCTGGAAAGCAGGACCACTACGCAGCAGACGACACCTAATCTCAAAACTACAATGTTTCAAAGGAGAGTAGAATGAGTTCTTACGCTGATGCTCAGCTTGCTTTTTCATAAGAAAGCAAGGGTGACAGACTCCATTCTCTTCATGAATGGAGCGCATTTACTGAACACAACTCAAAATAGGCCCAAGAAAATACATATTTTCCTCCTCCTTGTACATAGTGTGAGAAGCATCCCAATTTCCTAACTGATAGCCAACACACTATAGCACTTGTTGTAGCACTGTATTTTAGTAAATGGTTAAGCAGATTGTAAAGCTAAGGCAAATAAATGCTATAATTAGTTTCCAATTAGAAAAATAAATAGTATTTTTATGCAGTGAGATTCATTTAAGTTAAAGAATAAGTTCACACACTTAAGCCACAACCACTCCATACTTTACTGAGGAGAATTTAGTTTATCTTCTTATGCTTTTCATCCATATGCTTAACTTGTTATGATTTTCATTCAAATAACACAAAAGAAAAAAAAAGAAAAGGTGATCTTTCACTAGGTTCAGGAAGCCAGAACTGTTAGTTTAGTAGTCTGACTGGATATACAGCCCAACAGCATCTTTGAACAAGGCCATCCCACTTATCTAGCAGAACCTACACATCATCGCTTTTGGTTCCCTTGTCTGTAACTTCGCATATACAGAGTCTCCTCATGGCCTTGAAAGCATCCAAGTCTCTCCTTTTCACAGAAGTATAGACAATTCAAATTATTAACAACTCTGAAGAGAGGCAGGAAGCACTCAGGGAAGGGATTTAAACATGGTAGTAGGATTTTTAGGAACCTCAGTACTACTATCATATGGCCTAAGTATATTGGCACAATTTCTCAAGCTCTTACAGAAGCTGCAGGCCTCCACATCCCTACTGCCTACCTCAAGTCAGTTATATCTTACCGCCCTTGGAGAGCAGCCAGAACACTTTCAGTTCAAAGGACAGTGCATCTCCAGAGGTATGTCAGAATTACTCACCGCACAGTCCACTCCCGTGGATGCTGCATTTAGTGCCCTTGGTTGATCCTTGCTTCCAGAGTAGAATATACCAGTTTCTTAGGAAACTGGAGACAAGTCAATGTAAGCTGTTCTTGATTCATCAATCAGCAAACAGCCTACGGTTTCTGGCTAATAACTATGAACCTCTTTTCCAGTCTGAAAGTTTTCTGGGGAGCATTTCAATTAAAAGGTGTACTATATTAGTAGCACAGCTGTCCCCAAACTAAAACCAACATCTGGACACCCAACTATGGAAAGCAAGGAACAGAAAGACAAAGATGAATGACATCAGACACAGTGATGGAACACATTGTAACTCATAAATCCAGTTAGACAGATGCCAAAAATATGGCCAGAATCTGCTTTTGCCTCAAAGCACTAGGGTCGCTTGAGGGAATGGGCTTTTATGAAATTCTGCTGATTTTAATCCAGAGGGTGGAAGGTCACAAGGAAGGAAAGAAGTGACCAAATCTTAAGTGGTTCTACAGTGACATAAAGGAAAGCTTCATTCTGGTCTCCACATTTATTTTTCCTGCAGATGTGGTTTTCTCCAGCTTCAAAAAATACCTAAGTGCATGATTTTGAAGAAATATACATAGCAACCATGTTTCATGAAATGCTATCAAAACCAGAAAGGCTAGTTACTTATCAGATGGTAAAACTACTATGAGATCAGTCTGATGTTACAGAAGTTAGAAATTTCAGGCAGTACAAGTCATCAGATAGTTCACATCCAAGTAAAGCAAAGACAGTTTGATGCAATTCTTTTCAAGCTTACAGCACAGAAACGATTAATCACTACATATTAAACACATTGCCTGAGAATTGTCTGCTAGACAGTCCAAGAGCCATGTTAGGTAGCTTCTAGCTAGTTTTAAGCCAGTGGTTATAACTGTAGTGCAGGTGAGGTGCTGTTAGTATCTTTGTGTTTAATAAGTAAGTACAATAAGAAATCAAAAAAATTCACTTACACTGTACAGTATTGCCCAGCCTTTCTATTAAGAAAAAAAGTTGACGTTACAACTAATACATTCAATGAATTACCAAGTTCAGGGAATTCTTGTATCTTCTTTAAGGTTAAGGAACAAGCTGGTACTTGCTTAAAGTCACACCAGCATCTGGCTGTAGCAGCAGCGAACTGACCTGGTTCCCCCTTGCTGGTCCTTTCCTTCCCTTTCCAACCCAACTTATTTCAAATGGAGGCTGTTTTATGCCCTGTGCGACTTTGATGAGATGAAGTATGACCCCTCTTCAGATTACTCTTGTAGCTTACTCATGATGAAGTTGCTCTTGTGCCAAATTTAGATTTTTAGTTCAATTCAACCCTCAGTTAGTGCCTTCTGATACATTTTACAGGGCAATCTTAACTTTTCCAACCCACTGCTTCACTCTGCTAAACAAGCTACCCACTTCTAATCTAACACCAGTCACCTGATCAGTGTGAATACTAGGTCGTCTTTTGATCTACTCTATACAGGAAAGCTTGAGAAAAAACTACCTGTTTTCTCTCCTGCTAGTACTTCAGCTTTGGATCAATATCATTGCCTTCTGGGAAACTGACCTGCGCCTGGTGCTGGCAAGCTAACCACACACTTGGAAATGTGCACAGGTATGAAGTGTATATGTAGAGTAACATCTTGGTACGTATGCTAGTGTATTTTCATTGACCTGAGCTCAATGATTTACATCAGCTGTGAATCTGCTCTTCAAAGCATGGCTTGAAACAATCATATGACTCATACAGAAGCAAACTTTTTAGCTGTACCTACACAGATTGCATAGTCTCATAAAACACTGAGGTTTCAATACCAGTGGTATCGATGGATTAACCACCTACCAATGGACCACTTGGGACACCACCAGTTGACCATGTTGCAGGTGCTACTTTTGGCTGCCAGTTGGCTCCTCCTGTTAACTTTTTCTCTCCAGCATTCCACTGAAGGTCTCCCCTAACAGACAGGGAGAGAGACAGAGCTATTATTTACATATCCTCACAGTGAAGATGAAAATAAATTACAGTATACACTAGCATTAGGCTCGCAGCTACATTAGTTTATGATGTATGCAGTTTAAGTTATTAACAGAAAGGTACACTTTTAGTGCCACTCAGTTTCAACAGTTGTTAGCAGTAGACACCAGTACACTCTACACTGAGGTCAGTTACATGGTTATGGCCTTCATGGTGAGAATTAGAGAAGTTTTACTTAGTATTGACTGAAGGTAACATATTATTGCATATACCCTTGCCAAGTAGGAAGAGGGGACTCCTACTGCCTATTCTACTGGGGTCAGGCAGTAGAGCTGCCTGCTAGAAGTCTTTGAAAGGTCATTTCATTGCTGGAAATCTTGCTTGAACAGCTGAAGGAAGACATTAAAACACTTGTTCAGTTCTGAAAAAAGTTGATAGATACAAGAGAAACAAATCATTCACAGAATAAAAGGGCTGTTGCAAAACCAGAATTTGTCAGAGGCCGCTCTATGCAGACTAAGATACACTATTTGAATGAAGTAGATTGAAGGAAGTTAAGCTTTGGGGATAAACCTGATGAGGTGTTTACACACATCCCTCCTGTCATCTCCAGAAGCACAAAACATTTTGAAATCATAAACTGCTCTTGCATACAGAGGAAGACTCAGCACAGAAGCAATCAGTTAGATTAAGAAGATGTATTCAAAAATAAAAGCAATGCTGCAAATATTTCTTCTTGCAAAAAGAAGATTTTCACTGCCTGGAATGAACTTTTCTATTTTACAAGTATTCCAATGCCTACTCAATAAGCACATCCAGCGTCTGTAAAGAGACAACAACACTAATAGCCCAGATTACTCAGTGGAGTTATAGAATTTATTATTTGGACTATTTGTTCATTTTAAGTTGTTTGCAAATCAGCTATCCAATAAGACAGTAATTTACAGAAAAAATATCTAAGACTCAGATTAAAGCCAGCAAGTTTAAAACCTATGTCAGGAACATTTAACTGTAATTATTCAGTGAACCTGTATAGAATAGAATGCTTTTTCCAGAATTTTTCTAAAATTACTTTTTAGGGGAGAGGGGGCTCATAACCAATTAATTTATTCTCAATAACCACTGAAAGATGCAAGACAGTTAGAAACTTTTTTTTTTTTTTTAAACAAACTTACTTTTTTGAAGTGGTACCAGAAATTCCAAGATCTGAAAATTGTAAGAAAAATAGAAAAAAAAGAGGTCACATGTTTAGTGAATTAAAGCATGTCAAAGTAACAGCTCATGTTTCATTGCACGTGGGCTTATACACAGTAATAAAGTTTTGCCTGTCTTCTTTTAGACAGCATCAGAGGACTGGTCACATCTGCCCCTTCTTCAGGACAAAATTTTGAGGAACTCTGCACATGTCTGTTACTTGAGGAAGCTATTCTTGATCCATAAGCAGACCAAAGTAACAATATGTTTAGGTCTACAAAATACTAAGTTATTTAAAAGTACAAAACCATTTACCATGAATGACAACACTAGTTTCTGGTTTCTGTTCCTCATCATACATACAGAAATAAAAAGCTATTTTTCACATACACATAAATCTGAACGTTACCTGAAAGTTTTGCACTGCTGTCTCTGCTCTATCATACATAGGAACTCCAAGCAGTTTCCTTAGAAGACGGTTTAAGCTAAGTTTTAAAGAATATTCTTCTCACCTGACCAGGACAAGTTCTGTAAGTCACAAATCGCTAAGTCTGAGTTTCTCCCCCAAACCTGGATACACCAAATGACTTGCTGAACAGGTTTCAGGTGATTAAGAGTCCTGCTGACTTCTAAGCATGGTAGTTTCCCCCCACATCAACAGAAGAGTATGCATCATAAGCTCAGTTATATCTTGGCTGTGGTGTGTTTACATATACTAACAGAGTATTCCATCTATACAGTCCTCCAAAGTACTAGCCTAGGTGGGTCTCTTAGGTTTTTGAGGGGGCTGCAGCTACTGATCTCTAGTTACAAAGACTCTAGCCCTTTTCCTACTACAGGAAAGAGAATGTTTTTTAATTTAGCATTTCAAAAACATGTTTTGGAAAGTTCACTGTCTAGAGAAAGTGTCTTCTTGGCCATTGTGCACTCCTCACCCCACTGCTCCTCCTCCTCTCACTAAGCAAGAAGTCAGCTATTTGCGTCCACCAGTTTTTCTGCTTGAATTCCACAGTGTTATCAGATGCTTTGGACAGTTTTCACCTTTCCATTTGTTATTATACAGAGGCACATTCATTAAGAGTCTGATGTGCCCCTGAATGTACCTGGGACATTCACTTTACAAATCATATCTACCAAACAGATCCCATTATTTGACTCAGATCCTGGGCACAAAGAGGGACAAGTTACGAACCCAGACTACCAGCTGTCCGAATCAGGCCTTATTCCTTCCCTGATCTCCCCGGGGAAACAGAAGGACATTGAAGCAAGCTAAAACAGACAGGTATTTGGCTCCACAGAAAGGTAACATAGTTGTATGCCACACCACTTAAAACCAAAATTTGTCACTTACTGCCTACTAAGTTTGCAAGGGACGAATCAAGATCACTTCCGAGGCCTTTGCTTGCTGCTGAAGCAGTGACTGTTGCAGTGGCTGATGGTGCTATAGACTGACCAGATGGAACCATAGTTGGCATAAGAAGATCACCTAAGCCATCAAACACTGGAAGTGAAAGGAAAATGGGTTAGAACAGCAGCTGTGGTAAGAAAAACATCACCTGCCACTTTGCTGTTGCTCCAACAAATACAGCACGGACAACCACATCACAAGTCTTACCAAAACACCGTCTGACATTAAAAGTAATGCCAACAAGGGCATGCATATCGTTTTACTAGATACTGAATGTACAGTAATCCTGAAAGAGCTATACCGATGAGAACACGAGAGGACATGCCTAAAAGGACTTTAACTGGAGAGTTGAATCTACATATATACAGCACCACTTCCACATGACACTGTTTTTCTTACAGCCATCCTTAGAAAGATGCCAGATGCACACATATTTGTCAGGAGATATTCATTTAAAAGTTTTTAAAATGAACATCTTGCTGCAAACACCAGTCAGAATTACTGTGGCAAAGGCAGTCTTATACCTTGACACCTTACAGCAACAGGATTGAAAGTCTTAAGATGTTACTATTCACTTGCAAGCAGCAGGGAATCAGGAAAACCTACTAACATCTTATGAGATCAGAAGGAACCAGAACCATCCACACTGACAGAGCTAGCCTCCTTAGTCCAGTCACCTAACTCAGAAGTTCATTTTTTTGATCCCTGGAAGTTAAACCAGCTGGTGCATCTCATGCCGGCGTTCTATCTTCTGATCTGTATTTGAGGTACATGCTAATGTTAAGTCAACAGGAAGGGGTAGCATGTGCACTGGCAAGCAACCAAATAACCAAGCAGCGGTACTACTTCAACCTTTTTTTCTTGTAGAGTTCCAGAACTCACCAATTATAAGTTTGTAGCAAGGACCCAGCATGGAAAATATAGAATGGAAGAGATACAAAACAAAACGATAGCAGAGATGAAAGTTTAAGCTTATAGTCAGGCAAAGAACACGACCTCAGTTTCCGTTTCGTGTACCTTCAGGTGCCATGCAAGTTCAAGAACAGCTTCAGCAGCAAGACAACTTGCCTATATACTTGATTTACAGAACAGTGTTTTCCTTGCATAATTCCCGATTCATGCAGTCAAGCACATGCAAGGATGATGTTCACACTAGTTGTTTTTTTACTGACATGGTAGAATATAAAAAAAAACAAAAATCAAAAAGGGTACAGAGAGCTCTTGGGTATACGTCAGCCTAAACACAACCCTGGGTTCTTCCAGTAGAGAAGGAATGGGGAAATCACTGATACTGCTTGTACCCAGAGCCTAAATGTGGTGTCATTAACTCATCTAACACACAAAACAGACGAGAAGTTTCACACGAAGAAGCCCTGTGGCTCACCTGATGCATCAAACGAACTGCCAGTCGTTGGAGCTGTTGTCCCAAAAGCTGCATCGAAGTTAGGCTGTAATAAGCTGGTTTGAGCTGGGGTGACTGGGGATGGTGATGGAGAGGGAGCAATAAATGAGCCTCCAAAGCCTTGAAAAAGCCACATAAGAGAAGTGTGGACATTAGAGTCAGTCTTGTTGTGCCGTGTTTATCAAAAGCTCAATCTATAGAAGGCAGAATGATAGAGACAGTTCTTACCAGACCATTGTGAAAAACTCAGTACTACACAAGCATCCTTGGTATGCCAGGTATGACCCAGGGAATTTAAGATTTTGAGAGTCACCAATAAAAACTTCAGTGTTTGTTATTTAGATTCCTGCAGAGGCAGACCAACTGAACAGAGAACACAATTCCTCCAGTACTACACGCTGTCTTTCCAGGTATGTAATCTCACAGGCAGAGTGTAATAAACAAGATTTGGTTCAGAAAAAAACAGAAACAGAGGACTAACTTGAGAAAAGCACATGATCACCCATCAACTACTTTGGAATCTCAGTTCTGAAGGCAGTGTTTTACTAATCCAGTTTAGCCTCTCTCACCATCTTAAAACACCCCATCTCCCTCATAAAGCCATCTTCGAGCTGCTGCCCCACCCCACAATCACGCCAAAGCAGGATCAAGAGCATCCACAAGTGAACTACTTGTAGGCTGGAGAATCTCCACAATTAAGGCTAATGCAGACATTATAAACCCTATATTTATATAAATAAACCCTTCTCAGCAAAATTCTCTAGCCTACAAGCAATGTACTCCCATGCTTGACTATTCTTAAAATCGCTCCCTTGCCCTCTATATAATACCTAATATATATTATATTTATTATATGTATAATAATTTACATATTGATCTCTCTTGCAATTTAAGCTTATTTTTATTATCTACAGACTCTTGAAGCTGATTAAATATACAAAGACTCCATCTAAACAAGAACAGACATATAACACTTTCTCAATTCTCTTCCATCTACAAGACATTCCTCTTATTCAATCTCTTCTTGACAGTGATGTTCGAGACCTCTCTACTACATTCTTCAGCCTCTCAGCCTTGTTTTTTCCCAGCTGCCCTTGCATAGAAAGGATCAGACCTGAGCTCGGAGCTCCAACTGTGACTTATGCAAATACAGGGTGGGGAAAGTACAGGTTGTATCAGAGTAGGAAGCGTCTCATTTTGGCACAGCTGAGCACAAGACAGTGACAAACCAGTACTCTACCACTGCCTTTAATTTCTTTACAGGGAATGTCCTGCCTTGCAGTCTACTGTTCTTATTTGTCCAGCTAATCATTGCTGCCTATGGACAGAAGCTTGAGCATTTACCAATTTGAAACTTCTCCTTTAGATAATTTTCTCCAACATGTAGAGACCATTTTAAGTGCTGTTCTCATCCAAAGTAAGTGCAGATGTTTTCATGTGGGTGAAATCTGAAAAATTAACCACGCTACTCCAACAGTCACATCATTGAAATTAAGTACCAAATACAATTTATCAATTTAGAAGAGATCACCTGTTTACGTTAAACCCTTATCACTACTTTCTGTCTTTTTACTGAGATAGTTTGTACCATTGCTGTTTAAGCAGTCAATTAATTCTTTCCTTCCTCTTCTTTCTTCAGCTTTCTTTAGTTACCAGTTCAGTGGGGAAGTCAGCTTTTTAAAAATAGGAAAATAAAAGAAAATTCTGAGGATTTTCTAAACACTGTTTTATCCAAGCTGCTTTCCATGGTCACAGGGTATATCAACTACAGTGCATTATGCAGACATCTTACAAACAGTGACAACAGCACATTTCCCAGCTATGAAATCAAGCATCTGTCAGACACTTAATGTTATGGTTTGGCTGCTGCCGGCAACAAAAGCGCCACGCGGCCGCCCCCCCCCCGCCACGGTGCGGAGGAGAATGGGAAGAAACAGGCAGAAACTGGTGGGTCGGGATAAGGGCAGTTTAACAGAATAGCAAACAACGGGAACAGGAACAACAACGATACAGATCAGGAGAAAACACAACACAAACCGCACAACCCACAGAGCCGCTCTTCTGAACCGCCGCCGTTGCACACTCCCGAGCCGCGAGTGAGTTCTCACCGCCCAGCTCCCTCCCACCAGAACCCAGCATGATGGCACATGGTATGGAATACCCTGCTCTGTTTGGCCAGGTTGGGTCAGCCTGCCCGGCTGTGTCTCTTCCTGGACTCTGGTGAAAATTAACCCTGTCCTGGCCAAACCCAGGGCACTTAACTACAAGACAGGTTAGAGCTCAACATAACGAACTTGTGCTCAAACTATGAGGATCTATTATATCAAATGCTACTGAGAGATCTCAGATGATCTTCCTGAAAGCTTTGCTTTCTCAGAGAACTAAGTGAGATTTAACACCAGACACTTCAAAAATATTGAAAGAATAAGAGAGATTTATACACACACAAGTATCAGACTTCTTTATATATCAGATGCATATTTTAGAAGAAAAGTAAGTCAGCAGTAGCTAATTGTATTCAAACCAAAACCCTGAGTAGGGAAATGAGACTGGTGTGCCATCACTGGGTCCTGGGCACCAGGCCAGCAACTTGCTGGACCACCAGCAGACAGGCTTTAGCTGTGGAACGCCTGGCCTATATGAACAAATACATTGGCTCCAGACACAGCTGGGAGAGGACAGAAAACCAGACTATGTACTACAGGTCCAGGAGAACACAACCTGGTTAGAAACTTCCCACAAATTGCGTACTTCAGCTGAAGCTTGCCAGATTGCAGGCAATGACTGAAAACACTCGGATCGTAACTTAAACTGGTCCCTTCAGATGCTACTGAGATGCTACCAGTACCAAGGGCACTGGCTGGAGCCAGGGAAGCAGGAGCGGGAAGAAGAGCTGCCTGCTTTCTGCAGTCCAAAGTAAAGAGTTTCAAAAGCCTCTGCGACTTCCCAGTGTTTATTGGGCCTCCTTCAGGGTTGTGAAGCCCTTATCACCCAAATCCTGTTTCACAGCAAGTCACATGTTCACAGACACTAATTTTGAATCTGGACGAATGCACTGGGATCAGAGATACACCCTCAGCTCTCCAAGGTCTGTTCTTGAAGTGGCTTTGTCATAGAATAATTTAGGTTGGAAGGAACCTCTGGAAGCCAGCCAGCCCAACACCCTGCTCAAAGCCAGTCTAATCACATCAGGTTGCCCAGAGACTTGCTTTGACACCTCCAATGGGAGAGATTTCATTGCCTCTCTGGGCAGCCTGTTATCTTATCTGACCATCCTCATGGTAAAAATAATTTAAAAAAAAATCCAGTATTTAACTGGAACTCCCTACCCACATGGCCTTTTTTCCTACCACTGTGCACCTCCAAGAAGAGCCTGGCTAGTCTTCTCTGTATCCTCCAGTGAGGTTGTTTAGACACTTCTAAGGTCTCCCTTCTGCCCTCTCTTCTTAAGGCTGAATGGACCCAGTTCTCAGCCTCTCCTCGTATGTCATGTGCATCCATCACCATCTCTGTGGCCCTCCATTGAACTCACTCCGATACGTCTTGATCACTCACCTCAAGAGATTCTCTAATATGTTCCAGAAGTCCCCTGGATTACCTGTGCCCAGCCATATTCCCTATTGCTCTTCCAGCACATACTATGGTAGTTTAAGCTGTCCATGGTGCCAAATCCTGTGATAGTGCAGCTTTCTTCAGCTGCCTAAAAAAAAGGTTCCTCTACTGCCTCTTCTTGATGGGGTGGTCTGTAGCAGACATCTACTGTAACTTCACCAATGCTGGCCTGTCCTCCAGTCCTTACCTACAAGCTCTCTCCTGGTTCATCACCTGTCCCAAGGCAAAGTCCCATGCATTCAACTATCTGCAAAAAAGTACTGATCTCCAAAGGATCAGACCAGAGGCAGGTTGACAAGACACAGGGATGATGAAGCAGAGAGTCCTAAAGCACTGTGCTTGGTTAGATGCTTTCTGTTTCCTGAGTGAGAAGGAGCCTGGCAGCAGGGCAATACTTAATATCCATTTATAAGATTCTGTTTTGAAAGTTGTGTAAGCTTTTGCAAAGCCCCACAAAGTGTGTGTTGCTCCAGCTACAGAAGAGTTCTCCCCAGCTTCAGGTGAGGTTTGCATGACGATTGGTCTTAATTCCATAGCTTTTAGCCCTGCGCAATTTAACACCAACATCAGGCACAAATGCCATAAAAATGCATTAACAGATTAAGTTCTTAGTTGCCTAGGGCTTGCACAAGACCCAGAGTGAGTCTGCAGAAACAGCAGCAACTGAGTTAGATGTGTTGTCTGGACATCCCCAACTGCCCGATTTTGAGGGTGATTTTACTTACACATTCAAGTAAGATTTCTAGTAAGAAGATGCTTTTAGAGTGCGCACTGGTATACACATGCACACAGTTTAATTGGATAGAAAGATTTAAAGGATAAATGGCTAGACTATTGTATTTAGCAGCACAGTTCTAGTCTTGCCTGCTGAGAGGCTCAGAAGAGTATGAAAAAAATTCTACCATATTTTCTTAGTGAGCCACGAAAGACTAGAAACTTAAGACAGAAACAGAACACTTAAGACAATGATGCATACTCACAACATTATGCATATACACACTTAGTACAACCAAACACTCATAAACCATGAAGGACAAGCCTTCAGCCACCATATGAATTCTGGACACTTTTACATTTAAAACTGGATTACACTGCAGGCTATACATCTGCTGTTATCTAGGGTGAACAAATGCTTAGCAATATGCTATGATGTTTACAGACTCTCTACATCTGCCAAAAAAGGCTTCAAATGTACTTGGAGCCCTTTTGAATGTATGTTCAAACCAAAAATAAATTAGAATTTAAAAAAATCATCTATTCACCCCAGCTGGTTCAGGTCTGCTTGAGCATTTAGACTTATAACATCCCTTTCATAATTTAGGTTTTGATTTAATGTGACTCATCAGATTCAGAGAGCACACTGCTGAAGTTTAAGCCAGCTGGAGCATAATTCCTACCAGAATTGAAGCTTAGTTACAGATAAGCACATAAAATATTTTGTATTGTAATGTTTGCATAAGCAGAATTAGCTTCTGCCCAACAACATCTTTGCACCCAGTACCCCAACAACGCATACAACCGCAAATGACTACTACGTTTCAGAATCTATTTGTTAAAGCCTGATCTCTGGCCTTAAGCTACCCATAGACTAACTAATACAAAGACCTATTGAAGCAATATTAAAACAAATGGTGGTCTTCTACCTTAAAATCCTGAAGTTGCCTGTACTAAAGCTTTAGCACACATTTACGCATTATGTCTCGCTTTAAGTAGCTGGCTGGCCAGCACTGGAACCAATTGAGAACAGACATGTACATCATCATCATCATCATCATCATCATCATTATTATTATCTAGACTACTGCTACTTTCCTGCAGCACAACTAGGCGATGCCCACACTTAGAGCAGGTACTGGAAAATGTGTGTGCTTTTCTGTGGTGGCTTCAGCATGCAAGCACCCACCTGTATCAACTCACACCACTTAGAGGAGATTACATACCTAGGCACCTCACATTATGTATTCCTCACACAAGGTAGGACCTATCACGAGCATATAAAGGTAAAACATACATAGGGTCGGACTTCTGATACAGTGCAAGTTGGCATGAGAGATCTGCAGACATGTAGACAGCAACTGATGTCAGGGGTCACCACACCTGGAGTGGTCAGCAGTTGCATAAAGTGCAGACTATCACTCCAGCTCAGATGTCACAAAGGTACCAAATGAAGCTAACAATCATCTTCAAAGTTCCTGAAGGGTAACCTACCAACAAATTCTACTGACAAATTCACCTTTCAGAAACAAGAGGGAAAACTAAGCCAAGTCTTCCTCAACCAGAGTGCATTAGTTTTTTTAAATCTGAGGAAGACATATTGGGATCTTGTTCTCTACAAACTTCCAACTGAGACGGCGGGAGTCACAACTGTTTAGCACAGTTACTACAGCCACCAAAATACCTGGTATAGCATGAACTTTGGAGTACAAAGAGAATTCAGCTGAAGCTGCTTACCTGTAGGATGCAGACTGCAACAATATAGTGATTCAACCTTTGAAATGGGTTTGAAAGTGATGCTACATTCAGCGCTAGCAGAGACTTCATCCCACCCAGTATAAGGAGAGGGTCTCTCTACCACTTCTATGCCCTTATGCTCAGAAAAGCTCTCTCTTATCACCTCACTCTCCCTGGCTAAATGCAAGACTGCTACCAAGTCATTCATCCAAGCTCTTAACATTGAAGTATGTAACCTGCCTCAATTAAATCAACCAAGAAAAAAAGATGACTTAGCAGTAAGGAATACATAGCATAGCGTGTAATACTGCCGAAGTACTGCTACAGTCAGCCAAAGAAACTTACATAAATAAACACCCCATTCAGTAAACAGTACAGAAAAATAAGGCTTGTGTAGGAGGTAGGAAAATAAAAAGCATGGGAAGAAGGTAATCTAGGAAGTTAACTTGTACTTGGGTATAGTGCCTCCATTATAAATAATTGTAGTTTTAATTTAATACGCGTAAAATACTAAGAAATCTTGTGAACAAGAATTTTATTCCACTGCAAAAGTCCACTTACACCCAAGAAACATAAAAGATTTCAAAGACTGATTCTTAGTTTTGCCTTAAAATAACAAGTTTAGAAGATCGTTATTACCAGCAAGTAGGTCCGCAGAAGCTGAGGAACTAGAAGCAGCCTGGGTTGCGGGCTGTGGTTCAGAAGCACTACTTCCAAAAGCATCTAAAGGGAATTCCAGAAAGGATCAAAAAAAAAAAAAAGGTAGAGTTAAGTATTAAATGTATCAATCTACCACCTGTCTTGAACAAAAGATGACAAAAGGATAACCACTTAATTCATCAGAAGAAAATGAAAGTGCTTGGCCATCTTTATTGCCAAGCAGTACCACGGACACAAAGCTCAGGTGGAAAAAAGGAGGGGCAACAAACCAGAACTTCAAAGGAATCTGTTTTTCTATAGGGAAGAATAGCACTGAAGATATCAATATTATGTCAGTGAGGTTTGTGAGTCCTTTTAGTCGGGCCTCTTCTCAGAAAACCCCTACAAACCACAGCATTCTAGGCGAGAGGGTTAAGCCCTTTGGAGATCAATGCATGGATGACAGACTGGAGTCGTTCCAGCCAGAATTTACTGGCTGACCTTAAGTCTGTTTAGAGGGATATTTCACCAATGTTTGGAAATTCACTGCTTCTAAGTAACATTCCTGTTCTACAAGACTTCTAGAGCTGGTTGTGCCCATCCTAATTTCCACGTAGTCAAACCCAACAAAGATCCTGTGATTCAGATATCCAGTTTGAGACAAGCCTCAAAACTTCAGCTGCTTTGAGAAACGGAACTGAGAGAAAACAACGTGAACACAAGAGTTGCAAAGAAGGAAAAAAGCACACAACAGACTTTCATTGAACCTCTGAGGAAAAGCCATACACGCACTGACAGAAGACAGAATGGCAAGTGTCATGACAACAGAACAGCCATGCTGACAGCTTATTTGCAGTTCGTTATTAGGCAATACGAAGAATTGGACATGCTAATATTAGCCATGATTCTACATAGAAAAGCTGTGAGAAGGAGAAAGGAGCTTTGTGCCAAGCGCAAAGGTAATCAAAATGAAGTGATTCAACTCTGAAGTGGTGAGGAAAGAAAAATACCCACCACCAAATAGGTCAATCACACCTGAAGAATCCACCTTTGCTGGAGAGGCAGTGGGTAGAGGAGAGGGGGCTGCAAATGCATCCACTGCAGTAAGCATAGGATAAATAATATTTAGTATCAGCAAGGCAACAATGATAGCTAAATATTTTAAAGCCACATGGGCTCCACCAGTTAGAACCATAGGGTGGGTAAATTCACGTAACAGTCTTTGGAACTGCAAATGGAAAGTGTTACATTTCTCATACAGCAACTGAAAAATACAGTACTTTAAAGAAAGCATTGCTTATTAAGAATTTTCTTATTCTTAGAGGAGGATTTACCCTCTCAACAACCACATTACCTACTTAACTTCAGTGTCATCCACTTAGCCACTTCATGGCTTGCATCTTCAGCAGCTGCCAATCTTGTGATCAAAGTGTCAACAAACCCACAACTTAGTATTTCAGCTTAAAGACATAAATTGGTAGTATGTCTTGTGGGTTTTTTTAACTCTTGAGAACAAAAACTAAAAATAAGTGGCCTATGAAAACAAGCACTCACCAGATAAGAGATCAGCGGTGAGAGAACTCTCAGGTACAGGAGAAGCTCCATGCGGCGGAGATGAAAAAGCATCTTCGAGAAATGAATGAAAAACCAAGAAGTAAGTATCATTCAAGTCAGTTTACACCATTACAGGCATCAAACAGCAGAGTTTCGGAAGAATTCTCTCTTTACCTGTACCAAAGAGATCTATGCTAGGAGTAGCATCTGGTTTAGGTGCTGCAGGTACATCAGGAACAGACTCAAATAAATCTAAGGCCAAGAACATAACATGTCTTTAACTCATTTTCGAAAGGCAGGATTGAAAGCAGAGCTTTCAAGTTTCGCACATTATATTTGCAGTTAACAGGCTCTCTGGTTTGAAAGCCTAGCACACAGCATGCATGCAACAATGATTTGTTTGTTCTGTACTCCTGACAGATCAATCCACCAGAATCAAAGAGTTAAAAACAAAATTACCACCAAAGATATCTAGAGCAGGAGGAGCGGAGGTGGTGGCGGTAGCAGAAGTGCGAGCAGTAGCAGCAACAGCAACAGCAGCAGCTGGAGAAGGAGTTGTTGCAGGAACTGGAGTGGCTGCGCTAGTTGTAGGGGTAACTACAGGAACAGCAGTCTCTGTTGGCTTCATAGCAAAGAGGTCCAGCTCAGGAGCAGCCTCTGCACTACCTTCGGATGGGGCAAAGGGGTCTTGTAAAAAGGAGAGGGGAAATAGATGTGTATGCATATTTAGGATCAGTGAGGGAGGAAGTCAAGAACAAAGCAACTACAGGCAATGCACATACTGCAAATACACACACATCGAGGTGGTCCCTCTAACATCTGGCCTACTTATCCAGACATGTTACTTATGTTTTTCCAAAATAAAGACCATCTGAAAGGCTGAGCAGTCTAGTTACTAAAGGGGGAACTTCCAAAGGCTGTTTGGCAAGGCCAAAAAGACAGAAATATGACAAAAGAATATCCAGTTTAGCAGGTTACTGCTTACAAAAAACTCAGCACTGCCAGATTTATTTATTAGCACTATCAAATAAGCACAAAGTTACCGGGACTCAGAAACAGGCAGTTTTGTTAAGCATGCTCTTCAGTCTAAGGTTTGTTTTGACCAATTGAAAACACTAGGAAAATTTCAGAAAAACACACTGCCATGTAGTTTAAACAAAAAAAACCAGCAAAACAAGAGACTATCTAATAACATAAAACCCACCATTTCCTGAACATGCATCAAGAGCTGCTGCTACAGGGGTTGGGGTAGCTGGTGCTGCTGCCCCTTCAGCTGCTGCAGGGGCTTCCCCAGGAGAAGCTGCAAAGGCATCTTGGGTGCAGTTTAAGAACAGAAATTAAAAGGAAAAAGGATAAAGAGAAGAAAAATACAGTAAAAGAACCAAGTTAAATTGCACAGGTAGATCCCCTTATACAACATGAACATTGTTACTCTGACAGCAAGACAAGTCATGCAGCGCAAAACACTGTCTCCGACAACCCCACACGAGCAGGTTCTAGACAAGGTTTGAAGATGGAGCTTCTCAGGTTGCCCGCTGGCAGTACAGCAAGTGTAAAAAGCGGCGTTATTCTCATTGTATAAGGGTTCAGAGCAGCATGTTCACATACTACCCAAAATTAACTAATGAAGACAGAGCAGAGGTATGGCAGTAGGTTGGTGTTATTAGAGATATTAAAAGCTTGCATGCTCAAAGCCCATAACATGTGACTAATCTGCAACTGAGTTTACTTGCACAGTGCTTTGCAAACTTAAGCACCGTCACTAATAACAACCCATTTACACTGGCAGAGATCTGCATCTACCATTTCTGGCTTCTGGGCCACGTCAGTCATGCAACAGCTGAGAAATTGAACTTACTTGTTTCTTAACAGTATTCCAATTGGATCTTTCTGAAGCCATAACCTGATGCATAGGTTATATTTACTCAGCTTGCTTCTCACAGATCAAGACTGTTCATCTTAACTACTGGCCAGCCATAGTTGTCTCTCCTTTGAGGATCACCTCTAAGGCCAACCAGCCAAGTCCAGGAAAGCAACTGGTTTGGGCTTTTGGAACGACTTGGTCACATGTTTTCTTTCACTGTTTTTTTGTCTGCCACTTGCTAAGTGACATGTTTAAATTTCAAGCTCTGAATTTTTACAGCATTACTCCTAGGCTTAAACCATCATCTGTAGCTCTTAATCCCATGAAGTAGTCCTAATGGACACCGCCACTTGGGCTACCCTCGTAGGCAAGCATTTTCTTCACAAAAAGACTATGCAGTTAAGACTAAATACTTCAAGATGCTCATAAAGGCCATTTTTCTACTGCTACAAAGTCAGCAAGTTAAAAAAAAGTTCTGTTGGGGAATATGGCAATTGCACTGCCAAACCAGTACAGGAAAAAGCTTAACATGCTTTAACTTGAGTATCAATTTTAAAATGCAAACAACCATTTTAAAAACAAGTTTGTGCCAGTTAATCTAAAAAGCTTAAAACAACATGCATTGAAACTTCAACAGAAGATACAAAAGCCGATTAGCCTTGTACAATAGAATTAAAATGAATTAGTAGCAAAAAAAGGCCTGCTAATAAGCCATTTCAAATATAATTCTATTTTTCATGTGACAGGGTACAACAACAAAACTGGATGGCAGTTGTCCAAGTAAAAAAATCAGAATTAATCCAACATCACATTATTGTATGTATACCAGACACTGGTATATAACACGTAGAAGAAATTCAACACAGAACTGGACTGAAGAGTTTTGAATTGTACTTGAGAATAAGCTATGTGTATGGTCATATGTGTTGGGTTTTGCTCCACAGGGATGGCTTTCAGATGGAGGGTCACCCTGGGCTCTTTGACAAGAACACATTTCTATCCACACATGCTTGTAGGCCAACAGCACAGAAGTCTGTCAACACTACTCATAATTACTTCCCAGCATGAAAGGATAGACTCCAGATTTCATATAAAGTGGGTCTTCAGAATGCATAGAGTTAATCACAAGTTCTACATTGGGACCACTTCAGCCTTAGAGTAACACCTATTCCTGTCCAGATGTAGAGTATTGAAGTTCCATGTGTAACAGCTGCAGAAATTCAGGTGGGAACAAATTCCTTCCAGCCCGCAGAAGGAAGGGAACAGCTAGCTTGGCACCAGCTTTATTGTTTATTGCCACCTCCAAGTAAGATTCTAGCTAAGCGTTTTCATTTTCTTCATCATCATACTTGGGTTAAATGGTAGGTGACATAGACATACAAATTCATAACAGAATCTAAAGGAAAAATGGCATATTAGGAAATTTAAATATTAGTTACTCTGAGAAGTTCAAGAAACGTATATGAGCATAGAGACATACCAACCTGAACAACTGGCCCTAAAACTCACAGTTCAAACCCAAGGTGGGTTTTCAGGGTTTGTTTTTGTTTGAAGTTAATGCTTATCAAGTTCTTTGAAGTCTTTCAAAAGGCTCTGGTTCACCTGCACAGATGTCCTCTGCTAAAATCTAGCTTCATATGCAAAAATGGATACACTTAAGTACCGCATATTTTATTAATAAAAAAACTTTAAAAGATGTTGCTGAAACCTTTGCAAGTTCATACTGCATGGAACATCTATTAGGAGTGACAGATATGTATTATGTATCGTGTAACACTTAAATTGTTAAAAAAATAGTTCTTGTTGCAATGATGTGCTAACAAGAGCATTTCTGAATTCTGAAATAGTGAAGTAGTGCTTCAGTACTTCTTGTCTGCAGCTAAATGAGTGTTCCTGAAGAGTGATCTGTTTAATTTCATAAGTTCAGGCTTTATTTGATGCCACAACACCAATACACGACAGAAGTTACACACACAGGATGATACACCTGACTTACAATCATTTAATGCATTATGCAGCATATGAAACAACCCTACAGAAAGTCTTAATAAAGCGTACAAGTGAAAAGAATTTTTTCTCTGTTTCCACAGTTTTTTACTCTTCAGTCATCCTTCATTACTTTTTGACATGGAGAAACTGACCTGAGCTAACAAGAAATATTCCACTTATTAAAGAATCATAAGAATTAGGGGATTTTTTTTTTTTTTTAAATAAGCGCTACTTTGCTATACCTGCACGTTCCAGTACAAGGGACATTCATTACTCCTTCAGTGCCAAAAAGTCTTGATCACTTTGTCTTTAGTTTCTTTAAAGGGAAAACTATAGTTCTCCTGCCCACCTGTAATTCATATCATCTGAATGCCTAATTACTGACATTTGCATAGTGTCTGCCATGACTTCTTACTTGCACTGCTTACAGTGCAACCACACAACAAAATATAACTCCAGAGCACATCACTAGCGTCCCAAAACACCGTGTCCCAATTCTATTATTGAGATACATGGCATTTCAAGTTATTTCGCCTTTCTTCCACCTTTAAATTTCTCCCTCCCAGGAATGATTCCAGCTGCACTTTGAAAACAGCCTCCGCTTGTTTATCTTCGAAACAAGATAAGGAATTCTTCAGTTTGGCTCAGGTAACTGAAAGCTTGCTCATTAATCAGATAGAACTCTTCAAAAAAGCTATGCTGGATCAATCCTGCGTTTCTCATCTGGTTTCCAAGACTGTGTTAGAGATGAGGACATAACGCAGAGCCGCTTTTCCTCTGAAAGACAAAGCCCAGTCATAGGCAGCATGCAGGCTCCTATCAGACAAAGTAGCAGTGATACAGCAAGTCAACACTCCTTCCTGCAAATTCTCCTCTTCCGCTTCTTCCACCAACCTGGCTGCCTGCTTCCTCCAGCTTTCAGCTTAAAAAAGCAGCAGGCTCTTCACATTCTTTCCCCTGAAATCACTTCTCCTGTACCTTCTCCTACCACACCTCACAGCAAGGAACCATGTAAAGCAACTAAGAACTGGCAAGCTGCAAAAAGTTAAGGTGACCCCGAAGACTGTATCTCTAGCAGACCTCAGAGTTCAAATATCTACTTATTAAGATTAAGCGTCAGCAGGCCTACCACCACAAAAGCTAGAGAGCAACAGTGTCTGCCCAGAAACTACTGCTTCTTGCACTGTACGTAGTCTGAAAGTTACAAGGAATGTTAGTATGGGACATCACTTACAGCAGCGGCTTCAGAAAGGAAAACCAAAAAAGAAAAAAAAAAACCCCGTAAGTAGAGAGATGGAAGTTCATTATGGACACCAGGATCTTAAAAGGGTCGGGCCTGTGGGTGCCTTGAAGGGACTGCAAAAGTACCTTCACTGCTGAGTGTATTTAGAGATTTTTCTTCTTTAGAATTAGAGGTTTTTCAAATCCAGAAACTTGATGCTGTTGTAAGTAATAAAACCTTGCTTCTTCCTGAAGTGTTCCAGGAAAAAGTCAGTATTCATCTAATATACAATCCACTGGAGACTTATAGTATTTGAGCAACAAATACATTCTCTTTGAAAGAAGAAATCAGAAATCAAGTTACAGAAGTCTGGATACTGCAAAAGTAAAATTCTTTCCACCTTGGAGGATGAAGGCAACTCCACTTCTTAATATGTGCCACTAAGTAATCTAATAATCAGTTAAATCTCTAGAAACTAAAAGCATCCAGCTCTTTGTCACTTTATAAACATGGAGGTAGACACATGATTTGGTAGTAGTCACTTTTCCAGGCACAGAATAGTGGAAAAAGTAGAAAATAAAGGAGGGTACAACTTGCTGCTGTAGTACTGGAAGAACAGGCAAGGGCAGATGTTTTTCTAATCCTGTTGCAAGTTTACAGTGAATTCTAGCTAATTAATCATCATTTAATCTTTTAAAAAGTCAGATATCTATGCTAAATTAACAATGCCATTTGGAAGTGCTGTATCCAAGACTGGCTCGACCCCAACATCTACACACCAGATGTTTCACAGGCCATGCATCTGCAGCGATGTTAATGAGCGCAGGCCTTGGCTTCTGAGACTAACTAACATCAGACTCTCTCTTGCTCCTAGTGGTGTCCAGCACCACTGCCCACAACTATTTTAAAAATGCTTCTGAACTGCCCGATCCTGTGGCACATGGACTATTACTCATCTTTGTAAAAGGAGGCGTTAAGTAGCAGGTAGCAGTTGTACTCCTTTCTTACAGCTTCTCAACAGTTTTCTTTGGGATATCATGGAGGAGTCTGTTGAAGTCAGTCCTAAACAAAACTTCTAACTGGGAACTTTCAGTCTTTAAGAAATACCTTTGTAGTCAAACTGCTTATGTACAAGACATATCCAGCACTCCTGTAACTAGAAGTGATAAACACATCACCACAGGGAACGTAGTGGAATTCAGTTTTGATAGCAAATAAGTTATCACTAATTCCTGACTTCCACTGTTATGCTGGAAGTACACATCACAGGACGAGACAACTAGAAGAATACAGCGGTCAGGTGATCTAAACATGTCAGTAGTTTGTAAATCAGAACATTTCTCCATTAACTCGGGCTGACGTCATGTTGAAAAGAAATGGATTTCTGACATGCTGTTGAGAAGCCTTCTGCTCTGTGAGTGACAACCAAGCTGACAACATACAGGGGGAAATTTATTCTTACTCAAGAGGTTAGCTGCAAACGTTAGAGACCGAAAGAGCATAACTAAACTACAAGAATGTTTCTTATGCATTAGTTGTACAGTTGGCATTTAGTACAAGTTCATTGTCACTTTAGTTTACTGTTAATGCTACACAAAATAAAACCCAGACTCAAGAATGGTGAAATATAGTCATTTCATCTGGCTCAATGCTATATTTACAGGGAAGATCCAAAAGAAAGACAACACAGCTCAAGCATGACATGTAATGAAGGGGCAGGAAGCTGCCACATCCATCCTTTCCAGTGCAATAACTATGAAAGCACAACTGCTTTTCCCAGAAATTGTCATACGGTACATAGTTATCGAATCACGTGGAAAGAATGCCTGCTTACCCCCGTCTGGACATGAAAACTCATGTTCTTAGCTGTTCAACCATAAGGTAACTCGTTCTTAAGGGTATACAGTTTTCCATTTCCATCTACATGCAGAGGAGTCTATAAGCTAAAAGCACAGCTTACGTTTCCTGTTCCATCCAGCCTCCAACACACAGACACCTCTGGTATAGTTAGTAAAACTAGAGGCCTTGTTACAATAGCTGAATTCTATATTGCTTCATCTATCTTACGAGCTGGAATAGAGCATCAGAGCAACCAAACTAACCTCCAAAGAGATCCACTTCAGCAGTGGCAGCAGTAATAGTTGTAGTTGTAGTGGCAGCAGCTGAAGTAGTAGTAGTATCAGTAGTTGCAGCAGTAGTTGCACTAGGCTCTGGGGCAAATGGATCTGAAATCTGTGGCTCAGAGGTAACACCGGAAAGTGCAGCCAGATTATCTATATGCAATCATATAATGAAGATCAAACAGGAAAAGTAAGGGGAAGAGGGAGAGAGACCACAATCACTCAACTCCAGAAAGATGGAGCTTTTAATAAGGAGTTTTAACATTCAAAAATCTTAGAAATCATAAATATTACTCACCCTCTCCCAAGAGGTCTAGTGATTGTCCATTAAAATGACAGCAGAATAAAGAAACAGACCAATTAGTAGAATTGCCAGATTGAAGATGTTCATTAGCCATACGTTCATTCTCTAAGTGACATGTCTAGGTTAAACGTAATTTCCACACTTGATTTTCCAACATTCAAGAAGTTACTGTTACATGACAAAGCTCATTCAGTTTAATAGCTCTCCTCAAAACAGAACCAGTGCATATGTTTCACATATTTGATTAAGTTCCTTAAATATAATCAGCAAGATGTTCAAACACTGATAGCATTTATCACCTCTGTTTTATACCACTGGTTTTCCTTTCTTAACAGAGAAGTGGCCTTATGTAAAGGTTGACAGGAAGGTCTCCTACCTTTCACTACCCCAGGGTAAAGCCAAGAACCACTTCTTTAGAACCTCAATTCACCACTACAGTAGTTCTCTCGTGCATTTGGCTTAGCAGTGTAAGAGTAAGACCAGAAGTATGTAGACTTCTTTGAAATTTATGAACAGCTAACATCCCCCAAGAACACTTAAAATTTTAAATGCCAAGTCTCCTAGGCCAACAGCACACAAATTCAAGATTTTCACCAAGCAAAAGTGTACATGGGAAGAGTGAGCCCCCATGAATGCCAGTGCTCACATGTAAGTACAGTAAACAGGCATAGTTCAAGCTTCTTTAAATCAATGAGCTACTAGCAGAACACACTCACATACCAAAGAGAATCTCAAGATAGTTCTGCTTAGTTGCAAGTATTTTCTAGACCAAAGTAGTCAGAAAGCAGTCAAAATCAACACTGCAGTCATTAAAAGTAGACAGAATTCTGCTTACTGTTCTTCCAAAGTGAGCTGTTGTGATGCACTTACCAGCCCTGGAACCCTTCACAAAACTGGAACTAAAGCCAGGGTACTCTAGCAGAGAGCAGCTTGCAAATACAGTGTTAAGTTACTTCAGGATACAATATATGGCATCCCTACTGCCCCAGGTATATTCTGAGAGGCAGACAGCCTGTGGTTCTTGTACTTGAGACAACTGTTTGGCAGAAAAAGAAAAAAAAAAAAAAAAGGAGAGCAGCTCCTCTTTGAAAGCTTTTCCTGCATTTGTGACAGGGCAAGCATCGTATGCAGAAACAATCACCTCTGTTAACACTCACTATGAGGAGAATGAATGCTTGACAGCATAAGCAGGTTGGCTCTGTTCCAACTTCGGTTCCTTAGTCAACTGTTTTTGGAAGCCAAGGAAGCATCTTTAGTGACAGACCTTCCTACAATTTCATGTCCTCTGAGATCGGTCAGCTTGAGCTCTAAGACAGAGGAAGCTTTGCCTACGTAAGAATCAACTACAAGCTATAAAAATCTGTGAGCACAAACCAGTTCAGCCTATCACATTTTCATACTGCAGTTAGAATAATCTGAACTCAACAGCTACCTATTTACTAGCCAGCGGCTCAGTGTTGCTCCTAGATTCACTGTACACGTAACAGGGTCATGGGTTCATCTGATCCACACTGAACAGCAAGCACAGAGTCCAGATGTTTTACTGTGAGTCAGTGTGTAGGAAGCAAAACACTTTGAGCAAGCATGGCTCAATCTTCACACGCCTGACTTTATCTTACAACGCTTGTTAAACAGGCACCATGAAACCACATGTAGGTATTTTGGTAATCGGTTCCTTGGGAGAGCTCTACTTGAGACTGACTGCACAAGCTGAGGTAAGTCAAAATGCCGTTTGGAAAGAGCGTAACAGTATATTAAAAATGCAGCACTCTGGTATCTCATTACTGCACACTAGGTGGACGTCTCACAGCTAGACTTGAAATAAACAACTGCTGGAAAACTTCTACCTTCTATTAGCTCATTCTTCAATGTCTTTTTGTTATCCAGTTATGTTATAGATCACAATACCGTGAAATTACAATTATCCAACGTGGCAACCTACACTTACTTTTAACATGGGAAGGATTAAAACTAATGCTTTATTGTATAGTAATATTAAAGTAACAACACTAATAGCAAATCCATGTTCTAAGGCACACTGCAAGGTAGTTCAGAGCAGAAATGCAAGACAATGTTTTTGTATCTGAGAGTCAGACCTTGCAAGAATGCAGAATTTGACCTACTGTATTTTTTTGTAATACTATAGTCTAGTTTGCCTGCGAAATGCCTATCTATTCACCTTGCAGTATGCTGCAGACAACTTATTACCCTACCTTGATCATCTCCTTTTAGCACACAAGTGTAGATTTTCACAAATTATAGTTTATTTGCTAGATAACTTCTGTTGTATTCAGAAATGTACTAGGTACACAACAAAATATAGTGTACTGTATATGCCACTAAATACATAGTGTACTATACAGAATATACAGTATATGCCAGAATACATAGAATCTACACTGCCAGTGACACTGAGAAAGCAGGAGCGTTTGCTGGCAACGTATTCCTGAGGTATATGTGAGATTTAAAGTGCCAGTCTGATGCTGCATCTTGAAGTATTTGATATTCACATTTTTCTGGCTATTCTGAACTGTAGCAATTCCTTCCCCTACTCCTTCTTCCTCATGAGTTCCCATGTTAACTTGCTGAGGGCCAGGAGAGTTTTGCAGATGAGGAAGAAGCTCAAGCAGCTGGGAGGCACTGTTACACATCCTGCCAAAAGTCCTGGGTGGAAGGAACGTCCTCTTGTCCAGCCTCCTGCTCAGAAGAACATTACAGTCAACACCAGATCAGGGCAGTTATGGCTCTGTCTTGTCAGGCCTTGAAAAGTCTCCAGAAATGGAGAGTCCACTAACTCTCATCGGGGATCTCTTCCAGTACGCCCTACCCTCCAAGTGAAATATTTTTTTCCTCATACCCAATCAACCTCTGAAGCTGCAATCTGTTATTACCCTTCATCATAACCAACTATAATATCCAAGAAAATTTTGGCTCTGCTCTATAACTCTCTTTCAAGTAGTTGTAGGCCACTACTGAGAATCCCCCTTAGCTTCCTCTTTGCCAGGTGACAGAGGCCCAGCTCCCTCAGTCTCTCTCCTCAGAGATGTGCTCTAGATCCCTGGAGTCCTGGTAGCCCTCTGCCAGTCCTCTCTCCCTTAAATGGGAGAGCCCAGACCTGGATGCAGTATTCCTGATGTAGCCTCACCTGCACTAATTAGCAGGCTCTGTAGTACGTATGAGACAGTACAACTTAAAGACTACTGGCTTCATCCTGCATATTCAGTTTAAATAAGTAATAGAAAAAAAAAAAAAAAAAACCCTTAACACAGGCTCAAAGGCTTTCTCATTACCAGATGAAACATTAATGGAACTTTCAGTATTTTCACAACAAAGCCATTCCAGTTCTCAGTCTGTGCATGTCTGACAAGGCTCAATCTTCACAAGCCTGACTTTATTTTACAACGCTTGTTAAACAGGCACCACGAAACCAATTTTTTTAAAAGAATTTAAAAAAGAAAAAAAGGAAAAAAAAAAAAATCAAGATTCCAGTGCAGTAACGGGTCATCATACCTGGACTCCTGCCAGCAGTAAAGCAGACAAACTTGAAGCTTACTAAATAACTAAAATGCTATTCTGAAAGATAAGACTGAAGCATACTTAATGAGGCTAGTGATAATCCTGGTCAAGGGAAAAACATTAGCTGTCCTTTTCCATTGTGGAATAAGAGGACTAGGGGCATTACTAGTCAATTTTAAAGTTTTCAGTAATTCAGAAGAATAAAACCATTTAAGTTCCAAACTGCATGTGCTTTGTCCAAAAGAGCAAAGCAAAAACCCAAATAAATCAGCTTTCAATTGCAATGCAAATCAATGTTTTACAATATTAATGGCTATTTACTCTGCATAAATGAGCAACTTAAAGAAGTCAGACGAGAGGCCTGAGCTCTTTTCAGCATCTCACAAGCTTGTCTCCCAGTACATGGCAATGACAAAACAAGACAAACAGGATGCAATAAAAAATTGCAGAAGAATTAGTCCCAGGTATCATAGATGACTCTTCAGTCTTGCTTTCTGGGTAAGATTACATTTCAGTTAATAAAATTGACATTTCTGGGAGAAAAACAACATTCAATTCAACAGATTAAATAGGAATATGTGAAACATCGTCTACACAACAGCTATAGCTATCCTCTCCTAATGAAGTGACTGAGATAGAATATCATCTTTAAGTTAAGAAGAGAAATACGGAATGCAGAAGCCATAGTACCCAGTATTAGCATTCATAGCAGAGTCAGCACGACTCAGTGCAGCATTCCAGCCGTGAGAGGGCTGATGAGTTCATTAAGCTGCCACACAACTGAAGATCTCTTAAGATTCCACCACAGTGGGTTTACAACTATGTAGGTTAAATCACATTTACTGGCCTAATTCCTTGTTTTGACAGGACAGGAGTGAACACTGCTTACATTTATTGCTGTTCTCTTCACCAGCTGCTAGTGCTGCCTGGAACAACAGGCTCCCTTCACAACAGAGCTCAGATTTCAGAGATCTGGGTAGGTATTCCTCTCTGAAAGCAGTTAGCCCTCTACTTCTATTTTCATATTATTATTCTAAGCAGACAAGGAAGATTTTAATAAAATACTTTAAGGGTTGTCAAAGGTAATCACACTTGCAGCAGAACTAATTTGCCACCATTGCCTTTAGATGCATTTTTATTTTAAAAGATATTTTTGATCCTCCCCCCACTGATCTGTGGGCTTTGCTTTATGAACAGAAGCGTTGATTTCTGCCCTCACCTTGCCGACAAGTACATGAGCAGTTCTAGTTCTTCTGTTTTAAAGTGCCTACCCTACCTGTTCACCTTCAGCCATCCCCTTCCTGCTCACTTTTAGTCACATAATCCTGGCTCCCCTCAGCTTTGCAGTCAGGTCCTTATAAGCTGCTTATACTATTATGCATATCCCTGGAAAAAGGGGTAGCCTTGTGCTGCGAGGGGATGCCTGGCTGTCAGGTCAGCAGAAGCCTGGGAGCGAGGTGGGAACATCCTGGGCTAGCAGAGAAAGAGCCAGGTTTCAGTTCAGCCAGGCAAGAAGACGGAGACTGCAAGAAGAGATGCTGACACTGAGGTTTCTCTACCTCCCCATGAAGTGGCTCCAGCAGGAGCTGCTGGAGCTGCCTGCCCAGTAGCGGCAAAATCCGGCTGAAGATCCAGAAGATCACTGGATGGTTTGGAAGAGCTGCCAAGGAAAGAGAGAGAAATTAGATACTGGAGGAGTTTCTCCATTTCATTCAAATTAAAGGGAAAAAAAAAAAAGTAATGACTTGGCTTGTAGGAATTACTTTTAGTTTGGATGACTAGTGGAACCATTGAGACAGACCATTTTTTTCAGGCCTTAGGATCAGAGCAATCGCCCTGAACACCTGTACTACTTCTTTCCATTACTGGATAATGGCACCAGCAGATATATGAGACACAATAGAGAGACTACTCTGATAATCCTAAAAAAAACCAAACCAACCCAAAATCCAAAACAAAATCCCAGACAGTGTCCAAGAACAGAACAAACAACTGCTGTGACTAAAAAGAGCAGCTCCATTCTACTTCAACATTTCATTGTGCCGTGTCAGAAAACAAGAAACCTGCATTTCCAGGCGATACATTGGCTTTAGTTAGATTAGAACAGAGTTGGTAACACTTCAATGGCTTAAGTCAGCCAGATATTAGCTTAGGAAATAACTTCTTGTTCATTTAGAACAGTTAAATAATTGACAATAGAAGCTCTTTCTTCAATTAAGTACTTCATCCAACATTTAACTGAAGTTAGTCACATCTTTAGACTTTTGGTTCAAGCTTAGAACTTTTACATATCTATAGTCCTTTCACTTCTGCTCATTACAATGAACAACAGCAGTTTGTTGTGATTTTGACTTGAAAGTAAGGCTCAGAATTTCTCATTAGTCAAACTCAAGTGTTTACTTATTATTTTAACTTTCAAAAGTTCATTATTTTTGTGCTTCATTAACTAATTAGAACAACAAGAAAAAGGAATGTTAATTCAGCAGTTTTAGAAACAGAATATTGAAGGTCGATGACTACTTTGGATTTGCACATAAACTTCTAATTGCACAGACTGAAGTAATGTTGGGAATGGTACAACATCACTACTACACTGAAACCAAATCAGAGTAGCTACTTTTTTTTGTTAGAGCTCATTTGTGATCTATACTGGTAGAATAATGTAGCCCATTCAATACTGATGTGTACTACCTGTAAAGTAAGCAAAATCTCACAGGCAAGTCTCCTGTTACAACTCTGATTTTGGCATCTACATCAAGCTCAGTAACTCATATATGCTTTTTAACTTACCTGACTGGAGCAGCTGTAGATGAAGTTGCAAAAAGATCAACTGGAGGAGATGTATCAATAGTTTTCGCTGGAGTAGAGCTAGGAGATGTAACAGTTGTGGCTGGAGAAGACTGGAGAAACATTTTAAATACACATTCAATATGCCAGCATTTCTCCACAAACAACTCATGCAGAGATTCACACCCAGTTTCGACACCAGGTCTTCTCATTGTGAGCTGTGCCCCCACTTTGAGAGAATTTAAGGAAGACTGGCCTAAGTTTTCAGAGGGTGGTGGAGTTGAGAAACTCCAAGGTGACTCCACCTAGCAATGCCTGGCTCCAGAGAAGATACATATTGCAGGTGCTTGGAATGCATGCATAGGAGTTTTAATCCCTTTGTTTCAAGATTCACCCAATGTGTAGGCAACTAACTCAGACTTGTGATCTGGAGCTGTCTTACCTACCTTTTAAAATCCCAGTTAGGGTAACTAACAGTTCCTATGTGTCAAAGGATTCTCAGCAAGTTCTGAGAAAAATAGAATGCTCCCCAGTGAACTCCCTCCTCTCAGTTTTAAGACCATCCTGGAGATGGGAGGAACAAAGTATTTTTATGGGTTTATTTCTACAGCTGTCAGACCCTTCATTTCACCCACGGAATGAAATATCTATTAGTCCACAACAGCACCTTAGTACCCTAATCATAGAAATGGTGGGAGAAGAGACATGGTTAGAAACTAAGTTAAAAGTTCAACCTTCAGGCTGAAGAATTTAAGAGCAATCATCAGTGCTAACTTAAGTTCTTGGGAAGATATAAAAGACAGCTCAGCCTATGATTTTGCTTCATCAGCTCCTCCAATTCTAGACAAAGATATCTTAACTATGGCAAGGACAGACACTCAGGAGAGTATACTGCAACTCTTCTGTGCACTTGAAGACTCAAGTTACACCTTGAAGAGTGTCAATTTAATTCTAAAGGATACCATGAGCTTTGCTACAGCACCTTGCACACTAGAGCTCTTTTTCCTAACGAGCAAGACAAAGTCCTATGTTTAGGACAGAAAAAGAATGACAAATTTGAAGCGACTTTCTTCTGAGTTCTGCTACTGCCATGCCATCACCATGACTCTAGCAGAAAATGGATTTAAGCTTTCCAGACTCTCCTCAAGCCTTTACTAAGATTTGAGACTAGATTGGTCCAAATTCTTCATGTAAATCAAGGAAGAGGGGATTACCTGTAGTAAGAACACTTTCTGAGCCATCTTGTAGTTCTCACCAACTGCTACAGTATTGGTCAAGAGAGTTTTTTGCTTGTTCTTTTTTTAAAAAGAAATTTAAGAGCTTTCACTAGCATCGAGCATTGAACTGTCTCCCTCAGATTCAGAGGTTTTCATTGAGTTTTACCTGCACAACACCCATTATTAGATACAGAACCATGGCACCTGGCAATGCTTCAGGGATACTAGGAACTGCTGTTACTAACATCACAAAGCTTATTAGTTTATCTGACAGTCAAACCAAGAAATTTTCACTGGCAACTCTTGCTTCATATTAAGGTGAGCAGTCTCACTAATCAAGGTCAATTCTGAAACTAGATATAGGGGATGAAAGTTTTCTTCCTGGCTTTTCACATGAGCGTGGTTTTAAAAGAGTGAGAACTTCCTCCTCAAAAGCCGCAAATGGAATGAAGAATTTGGAGGAGAAACAGTACAGAATAAGTTTCTCACTAACATTGGGATTAAGGGAAAAAAAAGAGATGTTGAGATAAAGACACATGTATCTTTTATGCTTTCACAAAGCTCGGCATCAAATCCTGGTAAAACTGCTCAGCTCCCTGCCCTGGTATAAGCACTACAGCCCTGCAGATCAGTGAAGTGCTTTTATGGCGCCATTATTTACAAGGCCATTAGAAGATGCAATTTTGTCACTTAGGTAGGACCTAGGTGGTGAAGTCTGAAAAGCAGATTAGGAGATGGAAATTTAACTCTTTATGCCCTTAAGATGTTCTAAAGCATACCACCTGAACAACAATTAACTAGTACAGCAGTTGGCAGTATTTACCTTGCTCAGAGGAGAAGGAGCCCCAGATCTACAAAAAAAAAAAAAGGGGGGGGGGGGGGAGGAAGCTCAAATATTTCAAAGAGCTAAGCATGACAGCTTTCTGAAGATCTCTACAGTTGCATGCCCTCTGCATTTCTCATACTTCCACGTGCCACTTTAAACAATGAATGAAAATTTTATTTCAAATCTTAACTGAATCTTTTAAGCTACTCTGTATCCCAGGATTATTCTACCTTTTAAATAAGTTCTACTTAATGGAGGAAAGACAGAGACGCATGCAAATGTCTTCCTTTTGGGCCTGCAGGAGCCAGCACGAAACAGTTACTGGGACAAGATGTCACTATATTATAAAGTCATGCAACAGCAGCAGAATAAGACCAATATGGAAGCAGTTATCTAACACAAGTCTTCTGAGGACAGGACAGTGAATTTTCAGTCTACTGCTCTTTTAAAGAAATTCAGAGTTACTTTAAAATAATAATATTTAAAAGTATAGAAACAGTTAGTAGTTGGAAAGTCCAAGCTGAAAGTTCTCCCACATGCAAGAAACTCACACTAACACTAACCCACAGAGCCTTAATTGTGTTAAAATGTAAGTCAATGCATTTCGTTACTTTCATTATTATGAGGTATGAAAATATTGCTACATATTTTTAGAGCTGCTTTGATCTAAGAGATGAAAGGAGGAGTTGCAGTTAAGACTGCACTAGTATTGGACTAGCATCCATCCTATAGATTACTTGAACTGGATAATTCCTAGGAGCTGTGGAACTGATTAGATCTGGAGCTATGACAGATTTTACTAAAAATAATTTAAAGACTACATATAAAAGCAAGCAACAGCTTAGGTACAATTTAGAGAAGAAATCTAATTGTTCAAGCCATCTTAGAAAAAACATAAGCATGTCTGCATGCAAGTGATATGTAAACACATGTACTTACCCTTCACTAAATTGCAAGGAAAGCAACAGTGAAAGAGAAAACACAGATTTAGCTTAATCCTTCCTACACTTAGACATGACAAGTTTCTAGTAAGAAGATGCAAAGCCGTTAGAAAACAAACTGGACAATAAAAGCCTTAGTAGCAGTAAAAAACAGCTCCTTCTAGCAGTTTTCCATAGTTAGTTTTACTTCATTTTGTCAAGTGTCTCGTTGTTCAGTGTGTCATTTCCCCCCATCGCTCCAGTAAGAAAACAAAGTTGCCATTAAGACAGCTTTGTAAGGGAAAGGAAAACCCTAGTCTTACCACAGCTTACTTTCCAGCTAAGTGGCAAAAGGAGGTTAGAGGAGGCAAACCAAAATACCAGCTAGTCTCATATTGTTACTATTTTGCCTTGATACATGGTACAATACATATACCTACTTGTTGCCAGGTTTCTTTCCTTCCAGTGAGTTTAGATGTTGCTCAAGGGTCTCCATGAGACTGCTAGGAGCCTTGAAAGCAAAGAGAAAGATACGCTTCTCAACACATTGCATCGACCTAATGATACTTTGAACTCCAGCACCCACTTCCCTGAAGTCCACCATGTGCATGCTCATGCTGTTATTTTATTTACACCACTGTGAAAATAGTGGATTTTCACACTAGAAGTAGTCAGGCAAAGACAGCTTTTGAAAGATAATATTGTGTCCAAATTTCCAGAGAGAAAATATTTACCTCCACTAAACAGCACCCAAGTGTCTGGTTGTTCAGTGTGTCATTTCCCCCCATCGCTCCAGTAAGAAAACAAAGTTGCCATTAAGACAGCTTTGTAAGGGAAAGGAAAACCCTAGTCTTACCACAGCTTACTTTCCAGCTAAGTGGCAAAAGGAGGTTAGAGGAGGCAAACCAAAATACCAGCTAGTCTCATATTGTTACTATTTTGCCTTGATACATGGTACAATACATATACCTACTTGTTGCCAGGTTTCTTTCCTTCCAGTGAGTTTAGATGTTGCTCAAGGGTCTCCATGAGACTGCTAGGAGCCTTGAAAGCAAAGAGAAAGATACGCTTCTCAACACATTGCATCGACCTAATGATACTTTGAACTCCAGCACCCACTTCCCTGAAGTCCACCATGTGCATGCTCATGCTGTTATTTTATTTACACCACTGTGAAAATAGTGGATTTTCACACTAGAAGTAGTCAGGCAAAGACAGCTTTTGAAAGATAATATTGTGTCCAAATTTCCAGAGAGAAAATATTTACCTCCACTAAACAGCACCCAAAGCCTAAATCCAGGACGTGCTGCTGACCATTCTTTGAGTCAGCGTTAAACATTGACAACAGCACAGGCACCCACAGGGTTAATTTTAAGAATAATATGTCAAGGTTACCCTTTCAGTTTTGCTTTTAGTCATACCTCCAACACCTCTTTCATGACCAGAGGGCTAGATAATATTTGCAGTCTAAACAAAACAAACCAGAATTACTTTCCAACACCCCCAACAGCAGTTACCTTTGGTTCAAGACTCCAACACCACAAAACCTTACAGCTGTGTCTTCTCAAAATGGCAACCAGGCACAGGTTACTGAGCCCAGCAGTTAATTCCTTCAAATTTCAGAAAGATCACTATTTTAGACGTTTACAAAAACTAAGCTTTTTCAAGCCTTCCTGATCTTAGATTTTATTTTAAGCAACCTTTTTGTGGTCAGGCAATACCCCCAGGCATGCACTTGCTGTTACAATGGATAGGAAAAGTAGTCGTAAATACAAATGACAGTGTGCTTAGCTACTCCAGTATAAAATTAGAGTCCAGTTAAGTAGAACCCTGCAAGAGCCACAAGCAAGGAGGAAACCCTTGAGAGATACAGTAGCATATAACAGTCAAGTATTTCATCAGGGTTACCGGTTCATCAATGGTACAGTCTTTAAACGAGGAATTCTCTTTATCAGTCTCTTTCAGATCAACCACAATTCCTGACAGCAACACCTATGGTGTTTTTCATAAATAATGTATTTAATTTTAGGGTAAACATACACATCAAAAAGTCAGTTTGCAACACTTGAAAACAGACTATCCACTGCTCGTATGTACAGTAGGGTGAAAACCAGCTGGCTGGCTAAATCAGATGCTTCAGGATGCTTAGTACCTGCCAGTATCAATGCACAACTAAGTGTACTTATAGTGTCTGCCTACTCATTTGGGCATTAAAACTGAGCAATAAGGTAACTAAACAGATGCAGAAATTTAAAAGGCTCAGAAAATCCTTAAATGATGGCTTGAGTTTAAATATGTCCCACGTACATATGCAATGCAGAAACATCTTAACTATTGCTGCTTCTACATGCATATTTGTTTTCAACTAATTTGAGCACAAGAAAGAATTTGGCTAAACACATGTGACTTAGTAATGAGAAAACTCCAGCAGCAAGAAAAAGATGAGCAAAGGCTTTCATTTGTTTAAAAAAAAAAAAAAGATTCAGACTTCTACAGATTCAAAAAGACTATAGCAATAAGATACAAACTGTGCCTGCTTAAGCATGTAAGCAGCAAGCTATGTTTTAACAAAAATAAAAATCCATTATTTCCTGTTACCAGTTACCTCTACACACATTAAATATTATTCACAGGTTTCAGAAAATCACAGAGGAAGCTTCAGAAAATTTCTACTCAGATGCAACAATGTGGAAATTAAATATTGTCTGGTATTCATTTGCAACACGGAACGGTGCTTAACTTCTTCTAGGTACTGCTTCAACATTAGACTAATCTATCAGTCAGCATTGTGGTGGAACCTTAGATATAGGCTTCCCACTAGCTACTTGGGGCAAAACTGGCATGCTTTAAGAATTGCTAGTAAATAAAAATGAGCCAAGGTCTTTAGCTGCCAAGATGCCTCCCCAGCCTCCAAAACCTTGCAGCCAAACTAGAAAGTCCGAGGATGACAGCTATCAACTTGTATTTCAGTACTGTGACCACTTGTTTGGATTTACAGAGTATGTACACACATCAAGTGTCACAGAATCACAGAATCGTTTAGGTTGGAAAAGACCTTTAAGATCATCAAGACCAACCCTTAACCTAAAACTGCCACATCCACCACTAAACCACGTCCCTAAGCACCACATCTACACACCTTTAAGGTATCTCCACAGGTGGTAACTCCACCGCTTCCCTAGGCAGCCTTTCACAACACCCGACAACCCTTTCAGTGAAGAAGTTTTCCCTAACATCCAATCTAAACCTCCCCTGATGCAACTTGAGGCCATTGCCTCTTGTACTATCACTTGTCCCTTGGGAGAAGCGAACAACACACACCTCACTACAACCTCCTTTCAGGTAGCTGCAGAGCATGTTAAGGTCTCCCCTCAGCCTCCTTTTCTCCAGACTAAACAATCCCAGTTCCCTCAGCCCCTCATAAGACTTGTTCTCTAGACCCCTCACCAGCCTCGTTGCCCTTCTCTAGACACGCTCCAGCACCTCAATGTCCTTCTTGTAGTGAGGGGCCCAAAACTGAACACAGTACTCCAGGTGCGGCCTCACCAGTGACGAGTACAGGGGCACAATCCTGCTCCTGCTGGCCACACCATTCCTGATACAAGCCAGGATGCCACTGGCCTTCTTGGCCACCTGGCCACACTGCTAACTCACGTCCAGCCTGCTGTCAACCAGCACCCAAAGTCCTTTTCCACTGGGCAGCTTTCCAGCCCCTTTTCCCCAAGCCTGTAGCATTGCATGGGGTTGTTGTGACCCAAGTACAGGACCCAGCACTTGGCCTTGTTGAACCTAATATAGCTGGCCTAAGCCCATCAATCCAGTCTGTCCTAATCACTCTGTAGAGCCCTCCTGCGCTCGAGCAGATCAACACTCCCACCCAATTTGGTGTTGTCTGCAAACTGATCTGCACTCCATCCCCTCATCCAGATCATTGATAGAGACATTAAACAGAACTGGCCCCAGTCCCCTGGGGAACACCATTAGTAACTGGCCGCCAACTGGATTTAACTACATCCAACACCACTCCTTGGACTCAGCCACCCAACCAGCTTTTTATCCAGTGAAGAAAACAACACGCTCAGGTTGTGTTGAGCGTCACATGCTCAGGTTGTGTTGAGCGTCAACACAACCAAATTCTTGTGGAATATTACTGACTATTGCCACTGCTTGCTTAGGGAATTTAGGTATACCATTGATATTCTATAGAATTTTATATTACTTACTAGCTGAAATTCAGTCTTATTATTCACCTGCTACTTATTTCTCACTGAATTACACTGCCTAGGCCTTATAGACAATCTACAGCATGTTGCAGACTAGCCTTAGCAAGTGAGTTCCAAGCAGCCTTTGGGAGAATACAGCTATGAGGGACTACCTGAGAAGACTGCTGAATTGGTCAGGCAGTTGGACTAGGTGACCACTGCAGATCTGTTCCTTCCAAAGGGACTATTATATCATATTTTAAAGGATTGGTTCATGAGGTGAAAGGGACATTACAGTAACCGTAACTAAGGTGCTGCTGAGCAAGTGCAGCACTGACTGATGATGCAGAACCGGGCTTGTGCAGTCCCAGCGTTTCCAGCAGGCTGACCCAAGAAAAGCAGTGAAAAGTTCTACATAAATTTATAAAGCATATTTCATTAACTGAGCTTAAGGCAAGTTATTCTGGTTCAAAGACTTAGTTCATGACTGACTGGACCTTGTCAAAAAAGAGCCCCTGAGGTACAGAGGTAGGTGAACATACTACTCAGCTATTTCAGAATTGGGTTTGGCTTTCCACATGCTGTTAGAAGTCTAAACTTTTCTCTGCTGAAAGAGTGGCCAGACTTCATAGCCCTGTAGCATCTGAAACCCATAAAAATTAACACTCTCCATCTTCACATCATGTCTCACTTTCAGAATTTTTAATTGGCTTTTTTAACCAAGAGAATCACTATTCTGATGTTGATTTAAACCAGGCTTTCCAGAGGTTTTCAAGAAGTACACATTCATAGGTTATAAACACTTAGGATTTACAACTGTTAAGCAGTTTGGGCTGCTCTTCTGTTCCAATTTTACCGGCATCAAAACTGCCATGAGTGAACTCTCCAGCACGGACCTCTTCCTCCATGTATAGAGCGTTTTCACATTAAACACAAAGCCAGGCATCCAGGTCAATTTGCAAGTGATATTGAAAGTGGACCAGCCCAATAGAATTTAAGCAGCTATACCATAAGTGAATTTTGATATTAAAAGTTTTGATGCATACTGACAGAGAAGTTCAGCAATCAAAACACAACTTCTGCATTTAAACTACAAGTTCACTGTACTTAGACCAAGAAAGCAGCATTATTGCTGCTCTGAATTTCATCGCTGGACCAAGACTACATCAGGGAGAGATCATGAAGCAAGTCACACGGCAATCTCTATGCAGTCTGTCCTCAAAAAAATGAGCTTGAGCTACAAACTGCAAAAATCTGTCCTTTAGCAAGGAAAAAGCAAGACAGTCTACCCTGCAACTGTAGGTCAGAAGTCATTGCAAAAGACATTATTTCAGTTATATCAGTCTTCAAAAATAGCTTTGAGCAGTTCTTATCTGCAAGTTGGGAGGGCTTTAAAGTGTTAGGTGGTATGACTTCCCACCAACATTTCCATTCCTGGTGTGCTTCCTAATTACACAACTTATAGTTATTACACAGACCCAGAAAGACTACAAGAGAAGCTTACCTGTGTAAGATCAGGAATATCACCTTTGTCAATTCCAACTTGCTGTGGGTATAAAAGAGGTAAAATGTAAGTTTGTTATTCCCCTGCAGCAAGCACTAATTTTGACTAGAACCGTGGTATGCACTTTGTCTTTAGAAAATTACTACGAAGTTTGCAAGTGTAGATGCCCATCTTTCTGTAGCTACCTTCAACAATGTGCAGCAGTCCTTTTTTTAAAAAGAAAAAATCCATTTAAAAAGAAGAAAAAAAAACCCAAACGAGTTTGACTCCACCCAGGTAAAGTTCATACTCCATATTGCAAGTCAGGCAGGGCATTGTGCTCATACTGTGTTGTCTCAGAGGACAGCACTAGTGAATTGCCGAACACATACTATCCAGATACCTGATTATCCTAATGAAGTTGTCAAACTCAGCTTGTGAGCAAATCCTAGAAAATATCACTTAAAAAAATGCTACAGCTCAAGTCACTTTATTGTTCCGCCCTTCTCTGCTAGCATTTCAAATACAGCAAGATGAGGTCCAAGTCTGCAACCTTCTATTAGTTGTCCTGTTGCTTCATTATGGCTCTCCAAAGTGCCTGTTGGTTTAGCTTTTGCAGAAAAATAAGCTCCACTGCACTAAGTAATCTTGAAGTGCAGTCATTACAATCCCTGTCCTGCAAAGCTGACCTATAGGTGTCTAAAGTACTTCACTCCCTCAGGTTCAACATTCATATAAGACATTACCCACCATTCAGGTGTCTAGCAGGCTCCTTCAGAAATAAAATAGAACCATAGAATGGTTTGGGCTGGAAGGGACCTTTAAAGGTCATCTAGTCCACCCCCCCTGCAATGAGCAGGGACATCTTCAACTAGATCAAGTAGCTCAGAGCCCCGTCCAACCTGGCCTTGAACATTTCCAGGGATGGGGCATCTACCACTTCTCTGGGCAACCATAGGGTGTTTCACCACCCTCACTGTAGACTAGACATAAGGAAGAATTGTTTTTACATCTACACTCTTTTAGTTTAATACCATTACCCCTTGCCCTATCACAACAGTCCCTGTTAAAGAGTCGCCATCTTTCTTGTAAGACTCCTTTAGGTATTGAATGGCAATAAGGTCTCCCCAGAGCCTTCTCTTCTCCAGGCTGAACAGCCCCAGCTCTCTCAGCCTTTCCTCATAGCAGCTTAATAGTTAGGTAAATTAGCAAAGAAATCAACTTTTTATTCAGCTCATTACTGCTGTCCATTACAATGAACCATGAAGCATCGAAAATGTGCATCTTGTGCCAAGGAGCCAACTACCACAAATGAGAGCGCAGCAAAAGAGTTAATTAACCATGTAATATTTGCACTATCCACATAAGAGGATGATAACAAGGATCAAACCCAGGAAAATCTCTCATTCCAGTTAACTTGCAGTTGGCTGCAAAGACTTAGAAAGCGGACTTACAAAATCATTATGTTTTTATTCCTAATTGCTATATTTTCCTCTAATGTTCAACCGTACTCTAGAACCATGCATTCATTACAGCACTTCCAAGAAATATCGATATGGTTGAAGTCATGTCAGCTGTTACATTACCAGGAAAGTTGAGACTGGCTACACAGTAGAGAGATGTAGAAGTCCTAAGCAGGGCTTAACTACTTCAAGAAAAGCTGACCAAGCAGATCCAGGAACTTCTATACTGCCTCAGTTATACACAGTGAGCTAGATGCTTAACAAGTGCAATTACTATCTCATGTTGGTGCTAAAAAAAACCCACAAAATACTTAAGCGCCAGACTCCAGAAGACTGGAAGTCACTTACCTCTGCAACTTTAAGAAACTCTGATACTCTGGTCATTCGAGTAAGAAATCGTTTGTAGATTTCAAGAGCATCTTTACATTGTCCCTTTTTCATTTCAAAAAATTTCTCTAGAGAAATAATTTTGTAAATTTCAGTTAAGATATCTTACATTAGGTCTGCATTCATCAGCAACTCTAGTTTTCAGGACAATCATGTTTCAAGAATATTACACTCCATTAACATTTTTCTACTTGGACACTAATCTAGTGGTGTTCCTAGTCCTTAGTAGAATTTAGAAGTTGGGCTTGTTGAGCTTCTAAAGAATTTCATAGACCAGAAAACCGCACCCCAGCCAGCTGTAGCTGTGATGTAAACCAGGTTTTTAAAGATAAAAAGTAATCAGATGAAATAGCTACCAAACTTACAATTCAAAGTCATTAAGGGTACTTAAACATAGATTAGTATGTCTTCTACCAAGTTTTCTTCACTCCAAAGAACATACTTCTTCCACTTGGGTGTCTCTCTAAAGTTTGTTCACATTCATTATCAAGCACACCTGCCACATATTTCAACCTGAACCTTAAGTAGCAGTCCACAGCTAAATCTCAATCTAATTGTTATGCCCAACACATCTGTGTCTGCTCCATAAGCTTCCCACACCTATAGTTTCAGTCAAAACACCCAGGACTTACTTTTATGAAACCACCAGAAAGCATTGCAACATGGATACAAAAAAATCATCTGAGCTTGTGTCCTGCTCAGGAACATCTTTTTCCCTATTCAGCCTCTGTAACCTCTCTGTTTCTTCCTGTTGTAGCTGCAGTCAGTGTTAGGTCAGTCACACTGGCCAAGCAATCTCAATTTTCAGCTTTCTATAGACCAGCTGAAGTGCTCACAAGTTTTAATATTTAAAGCTCATTTTCTACAGGGTCAGTTATGTTTCCTGCAGTTTACAGCAACTTCTGGATTTAGACTTCATAACAAAGCCTTTTGGAGGGACAGCTTAAGGTGTGTTATGCTGGTGGTCCATGCCAAGCTGTCTGAGCTTCAGAACATGCTCACAGCCTCCTACAGGCTTTGTAGGCTGATGGTAGGTAGGGTTCTGGAGGGGATCCAGCTCTGGCAGTCACACTTTCAGACAGCTCAGGAACGTTCTTCAGGAGCATATTATTTCATCTAAAGCTATCACATAGCATATATAACAGAGCATCTGAGAATCTGAGTATCTTAAAAATGCAATCAAATAGCAAAAGTTGCTTTGCTAATCTTGCAGGACATAGGGAAGCTCACACAGCCTTAGTTTTCCCTTACTTCAGAACAGATTAGTCAAGAAAAATGTAATAAGTTTTAATGAAAACTAATTAAAAAAAAACTGAAGCAGATCTGAAACTTGTTTTTCAGTTGCTCATGGCATGTGAGATACAGACACCGGGCTACTTACCTAGTAAGTTAATAACCCCATCATTGTAGCAAGCGAAAAGTTTGATAAGATCTTTAAACAGAAGCATGAATGCAGCATTTATAACACCATTTGTCAGTTCATTTGGATGAACCTACAAATAAAATACCAGTTATTTACAGCAGATTTACTGAATATAATCAGAATTTTTAGCTTGCAGCTGGTATCTGACACTGTTGCAGAATCAAGCACTGAATACAAGCCTTCACAGAAAGAAACCAAACAAAGCTTTTGGTTAGCAGATCAAGGATTGCTTTCTTCACCACTGCAAAACAATTCACTGCAAAAGAGGAGTATCCCCATCAACAGTAAACAACTTTGTCTTGAATCTTTCACCTATCACAGAGGTGGAAAGCAGAGACTCTATTAACAAAGCTTTAATGAAACTGGGCAAAAGATGTCAGTTCACAGCTGAGCTGAACAAAACCTCAGTTGTCTACTAGGTAATGAAGTCAGGTTAATGATGTCAAGACCCTTCCAGTTCTCACAGTAACTTGGGCAGAAAGTAAGTGCTCATTTATAAAAGATCTTTGTTTTATTAAAAAATATCTCCTATTCCAAGACCATTATCACATTTCCTATGCCATTTAAGTAACAAAAACTCAACAGCAAGACATGTATTCCTAAGGCTTTCCTCTGCAAGCTGTAGTGGGCCCTGCCTTCCATCTGGGAGCGTGTCCTTCTACCCATCAAGAACAGAAGAACTTCAAGATGGACTTCTTTGCAATGTTATGCTGCACCTCCTACCACAACTGACTCCTGTTTCTATCCTTAAAGCAGATAAATAATCCCACCATCATTCATAACATTATTACATTATAAATCTATTGTATACCGGATGAAGGTTTTGATGAAGCCAAACAATGTACATGTGATATTTTACTGGCTTTTTCTCTCCCCCTAAAAACAAGTTGGCTGCCAAGAGACAGAAAAAACCTCCCAGCTCTGAGTCAGCAGTCCTCAAGAGCCCTCATTTCTCACACCGTTCTCCTACCCTCTCTACAAAAAAATAGTTGAATCTGCACATTTTTTACATATAGGAAAGAGACATCCTTCACCTCACTCTACCTCAGTGGAATACTGAAAAGGGGATTTCTTTTTTCCACCTCCCACATAATGGGATGATCAGTAAAGCATTGCCTACAAGGTGAAATGCTTAAGTCACTGCCCAGTGTTAATGCTGGATCAGCTTCAATACATACATCGAATTCAAGTAGTGCATCAATTTGTTCCTGCAATATTGGCATACTCTTCAGTAGCTTTTCAGGAGCCATTGTTCTCATTACACCGTCAGCTCTGCAAGAGGGAATACACATTAGAAGCCATGATGTTTCCCCTCTCCCTCTCCCCAAACCAAATTGTCTAAATTTAAGCTTAAAGCTGCTATAACTCATTTCAAACATTTGGAGCACTGTCTGAATTTCCTGCTTCTCACAACATTCCAAGAGCTGCAATGGAAAATACTTCATACAGCCACCCAACCTGACAGCAGGCAAAGAAGAGGTTTGTGATAGAATGATGAATGATCTCTTTATGGAAAGAAGACACTAAGAGTTTAAATAACTTGACAAGAAATGCTGTCACTAAAGGCTAAAGTACTTAGAGAACTGATAGTCTTTGTGCATCAAGTTTGTTATGAATAACTAATGATAACTCATTGCTATGAGTACTTTTTAATGATGTGTCTATGGTCACTGAAGACAAAAAACTCTATAGGTTGCTTTTTTCCCAATCTAGTGCCGCAATATATGCACGCCAATTCAGTGACAATTTACATCAGGGCAATCCTGGCTTAGAGCTTCTTTCCTCAGTATTCCTGGGTACTAATTAATTCTATTACTCCTTCATAGCACTTCCACTGACTTTGACCTGCTGTATCCGTCCTGAACCATTACTCTAATGGGATCACGCAGCAGTCATGGATGTGTAGCATTCCTTAACTGCCACCCATAGTCATACAGCAGTCTTCACGCATGTCCATTTTTATCTCTAAATATCACAAACCTGCACAAGCACCATTACATATTGCCCTGCTCTGGCCACTGACAGTTATAGCATCTCCTCTCGGTGAATGCATACCACCATTTTAACTTCTTTTATACTATACTCTGAGGCAGCACCTTGTTTTGAGCACCAGAAATAACAGCATAGAAAGCCTTTCCATGAACATATAGCAAGGCAGGAACAGAAGGACGCCCAGCAACTCAAATTTATGTTTAACATGAAGCATTTGAAGGCACAAAGGGAACCTCAGCACTTTCGCACTGCAGCAGCCTGCTAGATCAAAGCCTGCCTGAAATATCAAAGACTAGTAGCTAGCTGGATTATGTCAAAAACTTCTTACTGATTCATATTCCAGATAGGTTCAAGAGATAACTACTTTGGTCCCCACTGTGGGAATAGCATCCAGCTACACGACAGTTTGAGAAGCAGGAGAGGAAGGCCTGGCAGCGACGCCTCTATTAACAGCTCAGAATCCCAAGCAGCAGAATACACCGGAACTGACAGAACAATTCTGTACACAACTCGTGATTAACAAGAGCATCTTTAGTGTGCATTCAGTTAAGCCACAGTGTCAGTGGGTGTTCAGCCACTTGTGTTGTCTGTGCTTCAAGAGAGAATCTAGAGCCATTAAAGTTCCAGTTAGAGGAGTCAGAGAAAAAAAAGTGTTCTGATAAATACCAACATACTACTCTGGACTGTATTAACTTTTTTTTTTTTAAACATAGTTCTTGTGGGAAATAAAACCAGTAGTTTACAACCTCTTTCAGTTCATTTTATAACTGTTTTCTGTCTTGTCTGCTAAGAACTTCAGCTGTTCATTTCAGTTTTCCTTTGTAATCAGTCATCTTTAAGGAAAGTGTCTGGAGAGTAATGAAACATCCTCAATATAGTTTCAGAGCATTTCCTTCTCCAAATCCTAAACACAGACTCACTGCAGCACATTTTAATAAGTCAGATTTAACATCTAGTACTAAAAGCTCCCAGTTCTGCAAGGCACCTTACTTCAGTCTTCAGTATTTCCCTTACTACCCACTGTTTTTCCTTTCCTCGTGTAATGTTAATCAATTACAAATACTTGGATTTCCAACCATTTTGGTGTTTCACTGTGGCTAACCAAAGAACATAAAAACAAAGTCATTGAGACACTAAAATTAAGCGTATTGCCACAAACCAGATTTTCATGGGTCCAGCAACCCTATCAGTTTACAGATGTAAACTTTGCTTACCCTTTCTTCACTCTTGCAAAGTCAAATGCCATTTGTCTGTAGGAAAATGCTTTTTCATTCAAGTATCTACTATAACGCCTAATAAAGGTGGACATGTCATAACCTGCAAAAAAATTTACACATTTTACATTTAATTTTCATGCTTGTTTAGAGGTTCTTTAGTAAAGAATAATATACAGTCAATAGATCCTAAAGTTATGTGATCTCCACACAACTCCACATACAGAACAGGCATCGCAAGACATCATCCAGCTTCCGAACAAAAAGCAGTAGTGCTGCATCAAAACAATCTACCACTGTCGTCTTCTTCCAACAGGGTCATCCAATGTACCAGTGGCATGGTTCCTGGGGAAACGTGCTAGGGGCTTCTACACAGATATGTGGCAACATTATTTGATGGCGAAATTAGTTACCCCTCTATTAATGGGGAAAAATGCCAATCGAACAAGAAGGTTATACTTAACTGGTACATGACTTCCATGATAAAGATTGATTTCAGCTTAAAACACTCCCACTATTTTAGGTATGTCAGTCCCTCCAACTCTTACATGGACCTTCAGAACTCCCCTGACTAGGTTTACCAGAATAAAGAAATTACGAAGGCATTCAGAGATTTGTGCTTTCTTTGAACTTTCTTTGAACTAGAGATCTTCAAGGCATATGATACCATACAAGCAGCCTCAAACTTCAGTAACCTTCAAGCCTGTAAGACTTTGGAACAGTTAGCATTACAGTCTGTCGTTCTGGTATTTCTTTCAAAGTTTCTTCCTCTAAGCTACAGATACATGTGCAGCAGGCCACTCATCCCCCTCTTCAGTAGAAGTCCCTTTTTGCTATCTTTGTTAACATCCACTTCCCTTGACTTAGTCATTGACTGTATTTTTCCTCAATATCTTTCAACATTAAGTACCTCTGCCAACTCAGGCTTAACACTACCAACTCCAATGCCTGATTATCTACGACACGCTGTTGTATTATCTAGGAAACAGCAATTTCAGTTTAAAGAAAGGGGCAAAGCATACAAAAGCATGCATTTAACGGAATTAACTGTTGCCAAATACCAGTATCTTTGAACACGCAGAGCATGTTTTGCTTCCACAAACACAGTTCTAATATTGGTTGGGCTTTGTTCCTGCCCTGTGTTACAATTTCTAAAACATGCTGAAGTCTTTTTAGTGTCACACGTCTCCATTGAGAGATGGAGTTTTGTGGTATTGCTTTGACGTTTCCTCTCTTTTCTACTAGAGCTACCATGAAACCAGCTCTTTCTCCATTAAGTGAAGCAACAGGAAAAATCACTGATAGTTCCAGAGTCAAAGCAGAAAAACAGATGTCGTAAGCTTTAGAGAGAACAACTCCTTAATCTTTGCCTAGACCTTCTAAATTCACTACTCAAATCAAAACCAGCTAGTTCTTTTGGTGCTTACCCCCTACCTCTCTAAATAAACATTTGTATAGACAATTCCTAAAAAGTGCAGTGTCCCCAAGCAACCAAAATACCATTTAAGATGGAATAAAAAAAACTAAATGGAAAGTTATGCATTTCATCCTTAACTCCCATAACAGAACAGGAGATAGCCAACCCAGCCCTGATTTCAACCAGCACTTACTAATGGAGTTCTACAGTTTCAACTCTAGAGTACAAATTTTGCAGAAACTGAGAAACCTTGTTCTGAAGTTGTCCAGCAGTTGACTTGAGCTCCTGTATTCATTAAGTACTTACAAAAAGGCTTCTGTAGCACATTTTTATATTATTTGCATCTTATGAACGAAAGAGGAAATTAACAATAGTATCTTATGCGGAATCTTGTTAAGATTATAGACATGAGTAGGCTTACCATGAGATCCACTTTTGTCCAGAAAATTGCTGAGATTGAACAATGTGTTTCGAGATGCCAGGTACTGAATAAATCTCTGCAACACAAAGTTATTTTCTTACTATAGGTTTTATCTGAAGGCTCTGTAACTCCTAGCAGGTAGGCTACCAGTTCAACTCCAGTACACATACACAAAACCGCAGATTTATTTATTAGCCTGCAATACCTTCCTCAAAACCTTTTTCATCCATTCAGATTCAGATTAATTACATTTAGCCTGACTCTCTACTAAACACTCTACTGTATACATAAAAATAGATTATGTGCAAATACAAACCAGATTGTAGAAGCAGTAAAAATTGTTAATTCTCAAAGAGATGTGAGGAAGCACCAGATTTATCTGCTTGCAAAGCAGCATATCCAGGCTCGTCCCAGACTTTACAACCCAGCAGACCTCAGGTTCAGCCAAGCAGAGGGCCTGTTTTAATAACAAGCAGGCCCTACATCAAGTACAGTGACTAACAGGCTGAAACTGTTACAGACAGCAAATCAGAATATTGGCCAAAGCTTGGAACGGAAAAATAGGACAGGAGTAAAAATTTTTTCATTGCATGAAAACACTTTATATACAGTCAAGAAGGAATTGTTTCACAGTCATATTAAAGCTCTTTAAGTACACTTTTGGTTCTTATGCAGACATACCAGTCTACACAGGTCAATAAAAAGCATGGGCAAGGAAAACGTAATACAAAGGCTATCAAGTTTAATTTACAGCTTTAGGAAGATTTTAACACTCATGCAGAGATGGTAGCTATTTGGATGGCAATACGCATGTGCCAGAACACCAACTTTGACTCTAGTCAAAAAGTCCCAGGTGATCTTCAATCCTGCCCAGCTCTGTTTTCAGATAGCGCATAAGTTATCAACATCCTGGAACAGGCTGCTACTTGCTCTTATGCTACAGTTTTGTAAATGAAGAGGCAGATAATCAGCCTGCCTCCAACTACATTGTTAAAGGCAAGTTTGCCCCTCATCAAGAATCATCCTTGCCCTTTGTTCTTAGGTCCATACTGATTCAGAAGTGATGCCTCTGCACTACTGAGGTTTTTGGCTTGGAGTCTGTCAGTGCCATCGTGGTTTCGACAGAAAGCTGATTACACTTACCTCATTGCCGTGAACCATTAGATGATGTGTGGTAACTAAGGCTTTGAATACGACCACCCAGCTACTGTTTGTTGCTCGCTCAAAAAGTGTGTCAGCCATCTGAGGAATATTCACGTTTGTTTCATTAGTTGCTTGGATCAAGTCTGTAAAAAGAAAGAAAAGGAAGCTGTTAGGTGCTACAAATAAGACAAAAAAGTTTGCAGCATTGCCAACCTCTCAGCCCACCAGGCTGCAGGCCATGGTAATGGCAAAGAGCAAGTTCAGTGCTTACATTCTACATTTAACACAACAAAAATCCCACCAAAACCTGAGTTTATATTACTACATGCCAACAGCAACACTGGTCTGATTCTTGTGTCCAACATCACCAGCTTTCCACCAATTCTGTCCTGAGCTACGTCCCAACCTTTGCCCGTCTTCATCCCTGATGAAGTTAGGGTCCACAACATCACATGACTTTATTGCTTGCAGGTTTTCAATTTAACTGTGGTAGTTCACTACCCCTGAGTTTGAGTTAGTATTATTGAATTCTTCACTTACAAGTAATGCATCAAGCACTCTGAACCCAGTCACATCAGCAAAAAGAGGTATCACCAGAAACAGATACTCCAGTCATCTCTGAGGTTAGAGTTTCATCAGCGTGCTACAGCACACCTCCCAGGGTCTGTACAGAACTAGACAGCAGAAGAGTGCATTCAGGCATGCATTGAGCCCTCTTCACAGCAGGAAAGAAGGCAAGGATAGACATTAGTTTATACTGAAGAATAACAGTCTTCTGCAAGCAACTGCACCTCACACAGAAGAAATAAGACAGTAGAGTGTCTTAAGGAATAAGAATAAAATACAGCTTTGTGTCCTGTATATTAGGAAGGTGTAGACTTGCACAAGAGAGCAGACAAAAATGATAAGTACTTAAATCATAAACAGTAGGGCAGCAAGCTTTCCACTAGCATCTATATTCCATGTCTGATGGGATCTTTGATTTACTACATCACCTCTTACCTACCATCTCTTGCTAGGCAGGCAGCAATGACCTTCTGCAAACTATTACCAATTTTTGAGACACAGCTAGAAACTGCGTACTGCAACTGCATGACCAAAACCCGTGTGATGCCAGACACGACCTTAGCAAGACTTCAGGAGACAACTTCTCGCAACACAAAGAGCACAGAACATAGACCTAATTGTAGGGCTAAGACTTAAAGTTTGAAGGCCTAAGTAGAACAAGTTAAAAGTTAAGAAGTTTAACTACTAGACTAGACATTATCTGTGTTACTAATGAAAATACTCATATTTTACTTTCCTTGAGAAGAAAGTAATCATTGTTAATGATTTTCCACGTTTCTTTTCCCCCTTCCCAGACTAGAATTGTTCATCCAACTATTCAAACCATTCAGTGATGACACATATTCCACCCTAGAAGCAGACAGGCTGTTCTGTGACTGATCCTTGCACACCTAAACTACACAAAGCTGCTGTAAACACTCTACAGGAGTTCAGTTCACCAGGGCAGCAGGGTCACCACTGTACAGACCTGCTTTCCCTCCCCAGCACAACCCCACTTCATGGAGGGCATTAATGCTGCTAAGGGCAGAAAGTCAAGGTTCAGACTGCTGGGAAACTACTGTTTCTGCCTCTGCAGGGCAGGAAAATTCCAGAGGACAGGTCTGTCTAAACAGACCGATAAGCTGCATCAGCTATTGAGAACTACCTTATGTGTTCAGAAACCCACATTGCTGCACCAGAAGCGTTCAGAAGTCTCATGATTTTCTTTTTAATTTAAGGCACGTGTTTTCTGTGGGTTTTTCACTTCTATTAAACAGATTAATTTAAGATACAAGAAATCTATAGCTCAGAGTCAGAAGACTGTGAAAACTGCAGTATTTGTGTTTAAAACTGTCTTTTGTATGGGCATAAAAGTTGCAAGTTGTCTTCAGTTTCAGGTCAGTGGAATGATTTTCTGTAATGAGACAGAAGACAAAAATTACGCGATCTGTTCGCCAAGTCTGATTTTAAAATGTTTGTTGTCGTGCTGGTTTTCATTTGGTTGTGGGTATTCAGGATTTTTTTGCAAAACACCTTCTGAAATGTAAAGCAAAATTCTATAACCTCAATAATGCTACCCTTGAAGGAGGCAGTTCTGCAGACAAAGTATTACAGTAGTAAAGCCATGCTATTGAATGACAACAGTTCAAGCTCACAGAGCTCCAACAAGTCTCCTTGATCTTGTTGTACAAACAGGCCAATAATCTTTCATTCTGTACTGCTTATTAGCACATTGCAGAAGACAGAGTTTTGTAAAAGACTAGAAGCAAGTCACAAGTGGCCTGCTCACCCTTTAACCCGCTCAGGGGTTTTACTGCAGACGACACCATTTGTCCTCAGTACAAGGAAAAATGCATCAAGTTTGCAAACTTTCAGTCCTAAGCTTCAGTACGTAGCTCACTATGGAAGAGAGGTGCTATAAATTGTGTATTCCAGCAGTGGATATTAGATGCTGAAACCTCAGAGGAGTCCACCCTCAGCAATGCTGGCAATGGAGGCTACAAGACACTACTCTCATCTGCTACTACAGCACTGTTTCTGAAGTCACTCAGTCATTTCTGCCTCCTCTTCAAACTGCTGGAGGGTACGGCATCTCAGTCTGCAGCTCTGAATGTTTTAGGACACGAGTAATTACAGTGTGCCGAGTAGAGGGGTATGATTAAATTTAAGCCTACCACCATCAGCGCACAGAAAAGAATTAAACCACGCATGAAGATTTTACTCATCATCTGAGGTGAAAAAAAAAAAGAGATGGGGGGTTAATTCTTGCAGAGCTGTTAAGTCACACCACAAAGTTAAGGAATTCAAGCTTCCTGAGTTTCTTTCCCCAATACCAGAATCTCAGCTTAACCAGCAACTATTAGCATCTGGAGCAACTCACAAGCATGGCTAACTTCAGCAAACTCCGAGCAACAGAGTTTGGTGGCTGAGCTAAACTCTAAAATAAGATTTGGCAATTTGACTTTAGTGTGGTAGGGAAGAATGGGTACATGGAAAAAGACGAACACATACAAGAAAAATGAAAATCTAGAAACTAAGTTTTCAAAAGATACAGATTCAGACATTTACTGGTGGGACACAAACTCAGTTTTCAAAAGAGACAATGAAGTTCAGTCTTCCAAGCAAGTCACAGGCGGATGTGTTAATACAAAATAGATAATATTAAGAAGTGCCAGATGAAGAACCGCCCATCAGAAGCCATATGAAGCAACCTTACAAAGTTGATTCCATTTGGGGTACACACAAGTAGGACAAATGACTTAAAGGTACCTTCCTGATGAATTTTCTGCTACTGCAGGCATCCACGTCAAGTACACTGACAGCTAATCCCCAAACCCAGAAACTGAGCTCAAATACAAATTCCAGCAGAGTAAGAAGTCAGGAATTGTCCAGCAATAGCAGAAAGTGCTTTCACTGAGACTTTTACAGAAATGAAGTAGATGGAGAACGAAGATCTATACACCCTTCGTTTGAATTTGTTTGTTTACTGTGGGACTAAATTATAATTACCAAACACAGTACCTCATGTCTCCTATTTTGTCTCTTCACATTTTTGTAGCTGCTCTTTTGAACACTTATTCAGTCTAGAGATCCTTATTTAAATTATAATCTGGACTTCAATATACTTCTAGTATATTGCATCTAGTATATCTGCATCTTTGAGATGCAAAACCAATGCACACAGAAGAAATAAATGGTTGTCAACTCTTCGACACTATAATTCAACTCTAAACATTAGTCTTTAAACTCTGACTAGCCAATTTTTCGACCCGAAGACATCTACAACTTAAGTAGAGAAGAGAAGCAAAGCTAGGGTATGATTAACACCTTCATTAATAAAAAGACAAGCCTGTCAAATTGAGGAAGATCGGTAGAGGGTTCAGTGAAGAAGACTGAAGTAAGTTAAGACACCTTAGCTCCTCACGACCTTTACAAGACCACTAAAAGATAGGACTAGTTTTAGTGTTCGTTAAGCTTATAAGGAAGAAAAAAAAAAAAAAAGAGAACAGCAAGAAGTTTCGAATTCTTCAGAACTTCAGATTTATCCAGTCTCATTAAAAACTACTACCTGGTTTTGAGTTTGTTTTGGGTGGGGGTTTTTTTCTGGGTTTTCTTTTTTTTTTTTTTTAAATGAGAGAGATTACACAACATTTTAAAGAATCTCTCTTATTCCTTTACCTTTTCAGCTTGTATTCCGGATCTGGGCAGGTAGTTTTCCTGTTTTGTTTTGGGGTTGGTTTTTACTCAATTCTTTAATAAACCGATTGGGGATTCCCTAATTCAAAGTTGATTATTCATAATTTACATTTCAGTATGCAGAGAAACAGCAGCAGAACACAAGACCTCTCTGTTCAGAGGGCTATTGGTGCCAACTTAAGAGCAGCTGTCATTCCGCATTGAATTAACACACGAGCTGCCTCAGCATCTGAGCTGTGTCATACATTCAGTTCCTAAACTTTGCCAAATCCTTCTGACAGCAACTCCCTTGCAGGCCTTTCTTGCTATTATGTTGAACACTACAATAGCCTTCACAAGGTCTCTTCCTTGCTAGTAAGTATTTAAATAACGCCTTGAACCTACAGAAAAGGAAATCCAGGACTGTTCCAAATCTGGGCTAGTAGAGAACAGAAGGAAGTGCCTAAAAGCAAGAGTTCACAAGTCTTAACCAAATAAAGTTAAATAGGCAAGTAACAGTGCAAGTCCTCCCTTGCAAGACACAGAACTGTATCAGGAAGCTACTACATCATTGTGCTAACAAGTGTTAAGAGCTGAACTTCCAGGTCTACAGAAGGCTGACCACAGAACAGTACTGGAAAGCAGAACAAAGTAATCAGTTTTGCTTCTACAATAACTGCTCACGAGAACATTAGATGATTTTAATGCTGTCAGCTTTGACTATCAAGTGATGCCACAAATGAGAGTCGGGAAATTATCTATGGTGTTAAAGTTTACCATCTACTTTATTCACCCTCAGCTTGCCCCATCTCCACAAATATGCACCGTAATCTGGCTTGTAATAATCTCCACAAGCAGAACAGCAACTCATGCTGTCTCATCCTTCCTCCCCAAAAGTCTACCGAGTTACTACACCTCACCT